CATTTGCTTCACCACAAATTTCAGGTCAGTTGAAGACGTGAGAATCAGGAGAGCGGTTAACAAGACTTTATATCACCACATTGTGTTTGCTAAGATGAAGCTGAAGCTAAGAAAGCAATAAACAACTAGACAAAAAGCACTACAAAGGTTCAATACAACCGTCCTTCTACATACTAAAAAACTCAACAAAGTCATGATAACTCTCAGCCACGGGTTTCAAGCTTTAAAAGATCCACTCAAAGGAGAAGCTTCAATGGACGATGCTTGGAAAGGGGTGAAAGAAACACTCACTTCGACGTGTCGTGAGGTTCCGAGCCACAAGAAGCACCATCACAAGGAATGGATATCGATCAAAGTCCTGGAGAAATTTCAAGATAGGAAGAAAAAGAGGATAGAAATTTACAACAGTTAAGCAAGAATATAGAACGTCAAGGTACAAGCTGAATACACAGAGGCAAATAAGCAAGTGAAGGGGGGTATTAGTGCCGACAAGCACAAATATGTGGTAGACCTGGAAACCACAGTATGAAAGGCTGCAAGAGAAGGAAATATGAGACAACTATATGACATAACGAAGAAACTAGCAGGGAAAGGTAGTTAACCAGGAAGGCCAGTTAAATACAAAGAAAGCAAGTCAATCAGTGGCATTCAAGAACAAAGGAAAGGATGAGTATGACAATTTGAGGAACTATTGAACAAGCCGGCTTCATTAACTCCACTATACCCTGAAGGAGCACACACAGACCTTCTTATAAATGTCAACAAAGAAAGGAGATCTGCGTAAATTTGAGAACTACATAGACATCACATGAATGTCAGTATCAGGAGAATTTTTCAACAGAGTGTTGCTGAATCGGATGAAAGACTCAATGGACACCCAAGTTTGAGGCCAACAAGTTGGATTCCATAAGGATTGGTTGTGCACGGATCAAATCAACACACTGCGGATCATCGATGAACAATCATTTGAATGGAAGCCGTCACTAATCATCAACTTCCCTGATTATGAGAAAGCACTTAACAGTGTGGATAGGAGAACACTATGGAAACGTCTCTGGCGTTGTGGTGTACGTGAAAACATCGTCACATCATACGGAGCACATAGGACTGGGTACAGTGAAGTGTCAAACGTGGAGAAGGCCAGTATAGCAGAAGCCTTTGCATCAGTAGACCCCAACATACACATGGGCAAAAGCGAGATCCTCAAATACAACACGAAGGACATCATCCCAATCACGTATGATGGAGAAACTCTGGAAAATGTGGACTCCTTCACGCACCTAAGTAATAGCATCATCGATGAACAAGGCGGATCTGATGCAGACATAAATGCAATGACTGGAAAAGTAAGAAGAGCATTTCCGCAGTTGAGAACATATAGAAGTCCAAACAACTATCAACCAATATCAAAGTCAAAATCTTCAACAGGAACTTCAAGACAGTCCTACTCTACGGAAGTGAAACTTAGGGAACTGTCGCAACCATCACCAAAAATGTACTGGTACTTATAAACGTTTGGCTACATAGGACACTCAGTTCCTGTTGACCAAATATCATCAGCAACAGCATACTGTTTGAAAGAACAAACCAGCTTCCATCTAAGAAGGAAATAAGAAATAAACGCTCGAAGTCGACTGTACATACATTACGAAAATCATCAGACCTAATCACGAGGCAAGCGGTGATTTGGAATCTTAATGGGAAAATAAGAGAGGATGACCAGAGAACAAATCGCTTTGGGAATTGGACGCAGACATGAAAAGGATGAATAGCAACTGGAAACAAGTGGAAGGGATTGCCTAGGATAGAGTTCGGTGATGAATGTGCAGTGGCATTGGGCCCTAACGACACAATCCTCAAAGCTGAACACAAGACAACTGGGAAGATATGTATTCAATATCTAACGCGGAGAAAAACCCAAGGATGGAGAAAGCGGGAAGAATGAATTAAATTGATTCGAATCCACCGGATGGCATGGCCCAGCCTTGCGGGCGTGGTCGTCGTATTTTTTTATTCATGTTGAATGTATTGTCCTATCTCTAGCCTAAGTTTGTTCACCATCATATATTGGTCATTATTATGATGCAATGAGTTAGTGTAGACGATGATGTGACTCTTAAGTAAGATCTTATAAATTAGGCAGTTATATCATGACAAATCTACAATTTTAGGATTAGGTCTAGAATTAGGACAGTACTAATATTGAAGTAGATCATAGTTCCACAAATGCTTGTTAGCGGCCTATGCTCCTCAAGAAGGGGCAAGTAAGTAAGTAAATAAGTAACTGATTATGTAAACAATTAAAAAATTAATTAATTAGGTTATAAATTACAGATGATATGTATGAATGCACCCAACATATGGAGTCAGCTTTGTTTACGTTTCGGCTACAATATAATTGGAAATATTCAAATTTTTACCACACCATTCTTTTATAGGTTGTTATCCAGTATTCAGTTATATTTTAACATTCTATACCTTTAATCTGTCACCATTTTAAAATTAATCTGTGTTAAATTATACAATATTATATGATCTACTGAATATATTACCTCAATGTTTATTTCAATTCGACAAGATTTGGTCTTAGTTTCTTTTCAGATTAATATCGCTAACAAATATATAATGAATTTGTTGTCAATTAAGTGGTGAAAATTTCAAAATTGTTATTTAAGTTGGATAATGCTAATGGTGACGACTTAAAACAAAATAATTGTATTATTATATTATGAAAAAGAAATTGTTCATAAACAAATTTTAAACAATTTTGAAGTCCCGTCTACTAATTCAGCTTGTGCTTTGACGTTCTATATTCTTGCTTAACTGTTGTAAATTTCTATCTTCTTTTTCTTCCTATCTTGAAATTTCTCCAGGACTTTGATCGATATCCATTCCTTGTGATGGTGCTTCTTGTGGCTCGGAACCTCACGACACGTCGAAGTGAGTGTTTCTTTCACCCCTTTCCAAGCATCGTCCATTGAAGCTTCTCCTTTGAGTGGATCTTTTAAAGCTTGAAACCCGTGGCTGAGAGTTATCATGACTTTGTTGAGTTTTTTAGTATGTAGAAGGACGGTTGTATTGAACCTTTGTAGTGCTTTTTGTCTAGTTGTTTATTGCTTTCTTAGCTTCAGCTTCATCTTGGCACCAGTTGGTAAGATATAGTAATAAATAATATATCTTTAACCGTGGAAGTTTAAAAAACCTAAATTGTGGTGAAAAGAGTCCTGGATGTAAATTAGAATAATTCATAAAAAAGAATCAATAAATAAATCAATTAATAAAATTCCCCTTGAGGTATATTTAGCGTATTCTTTGCGTTACAAATGGTCTTCGTCAATTGTTTGTTATGCTGATCATCTGGGCTAATATTATCCTAGACAGGTAATGCTTATTCATGAACTACATTATGTTTGTGATCCTACCCGTGCTGTAAAACTTGTGTGGCTTGGTTCTATTATGTGTCATATTTTTTCATTACCGATATATCTAGTCCAGCAACGATCTGGACAACAGACTTATATGGACCTTGGTGTCTTCTTGTTCTTCCTTTCTTTGATCCTGTCCAGTGTTTCTATAGAGATCCACTCCTTATGATGATGCTTCTTGAGGCCCAGAACCTCTTGACATATTGAAGTTAATGCTTCTTTGATACCTTCTCATTTGTCCTCCATAGTAGTTTCTTCTTCCTTCAGAAGATCCTGTAAGGCTTGGAACCTGTTTTTGAGAGCTATCTTGAATTTGTTAATTTTATTTGTATCTCGAAGGAAGGCAGTATTGAACCTTTGTACTGCTTGTCGTCCAATTTTCCAGTTCTTCTTTAGCTTCAGTTTTAAATTGGCCACAATTAGGTGGTGATCTGAAGCTGTGTCAGCTCCTCTCTTGGTTCTCACATCTTCCAATGTCCTCCGAACTTTTTTCTTGATGCAAATACGGTCTACCTGGTTCTCTGTTGTGTGGTCCGGTGAGATCCCTGTAGCTTTGTGTATACGTTTGTGTGGAAATATTATGCCTCCTATGACCAATTTGTTAAATGCACATAGATTTGCAAATCTTTCCCCATTTCCGTTTCTCTCTCCCAGTCAGTCCATGTCATCCCATGATATCTTCATATCCGGTGTTGTCCATTCCGACTTTGGCGTTTAGGTTTCCCATCAGAATGGTGAGGTCCTTTCATGGGCACTTCTCCATGATTGATTGCAACCTATCGTAGAATTGAGCTTTGTCGTCGTCATTACTATCATTGGTGGGTGCATAACACTGGATAATATTCATTGTGATCCCCTCCTCCTTTGTTTTGAATGATGCTTTGGTGATTCTGGATCCGTGAGATTCCCATCCTACAAGTGCATTTCGTGCTACTTTGGGCAGCATTAGAGCAACTCATTGAGTGTGTGGAGCATTTTCCTCTTCGTGACCGGAGTACAGCAGCAGTATTTAGCCTTTGTTGTCCAGCTTGGGTCCAGTGAACTTCGCTGATTCTCAGTACTGCCAAGTTGTATCTCTTCATTTCCATTGCTATCTGACTTGTCTTCCGGGTCCCTCACATTGTCTGGACGTTCCATGCATCTATAAAAATTTTTGCTCTCGTTGTTAGAATGGGCATTGGCCTCGTGGATTCTGAAGGAACTGGACTTTAACCATGAGGCGTCATAGTTCTTCTAAATGAATACCTTCTAACTTCCAAGGCATAGTTCAAATGGTTCAAATTATTTTCTCTGGTTAGCGTTTTTTCATCGAGTTAGTTTTCTACGGGATGGGTTTGCCAATCCCATGCCCCTTCTTTACCCGGGCTTGAAACTGGAAGTGACTCTTAAAGAGCTAGAGGAGATATTGTGGATTCATTAATTGAATCCTATCAAGGAATAGAAAAACACCTAAAATTCATGCCGACTATCGAGTAATGTTGAATGCTCAGCTATTTCAACAGTATTGTAAATTACGAGAATCAAATTATTTCTCAAGAACTGATCTCAGCTATTCTTATCTGCAGATATTTCAAAATGAATTCGCACACTTCGGGTTGTGTTTCTTCCGCGATATTCCGGAAGGTTATAAATCACATTATTATCGGTTTGTTTGACGCTAAGAAAATACATTTGTCCGCATGAAGAATGTCTTTTGAAATTATCCAGATGTTTTCGTTATACAAAAGTTGCTGCAAACTCATCCAAATGTTACCTTTAACCTAGTTGTGTAAAATTTCGAGACTTCGTAGTACTAACCTCAAGGCTAAAATGTAGCTTTTTCATGCATTACATAAATATCACCTCTACGTTTAGATCCGGTTCTTGATAAATTTCTCAAGAGAACAATGGTCTAAGAAGTATTTCTGATTTTTGCAAATTACAAACCGAAAAGTAGTGCATCTTGCTATTTATTAGTAAATTATTCATATTCACAGCTTGTCGTAGTCGATGGATCGTTTGTATGGAAACATGTCCTATTTAGAAGAATTAAGCTTGGCTTCATGTTACCATATAATATCATAAATTTACACAAGGATTCGTTGGACATATGTAATACAGCGACTAGCTATATTGGCCTGTCATAATAGTCTTACAGACCAGGTAAAAAACAGAATTAACTTAAAAATAATGAGCTTACGTGAAGTTGCTATCTTAAAGAACTGATTAAATGAACAATCTTTACTCACACAACAAGTGAAAAGTGCTCTGATATCAATTGAATTTTCAATCAAATAAATTAAAAAAAATTGGCTGACTATTCACAGTGGGTAAGTAATCCTACTTTCTGTCCTACAATTTGTTCTGAAACTTCTGTTGTTTTTTATTGAGATGTTTTATAAGACCTTGGACTAGCCTCATTGTTTGAGCGGGAAAGCTCCTCAGTAAAAAAACGGGGTTGGTTTGCTTGCATTCACATTCGTTGGTATTCTTGCCAGATTTCTTTTCTCACTACGTCCTAACTCTAGACTACTTCCATTGCAGTCTTACGAGTATAATCGACTGGCATATTTACAATATTCCGAACTGGTACCAATTTATTTTTCCTACATTATCAATAATATACTTACGTTCCTGCCTGGAGGTATTGATAATCCACTGCTATTAGACACAAAAGCCCGTTAAGCGACGGCTTCTATTCCGTCCACAACCATTTGAACGGTTAAAATTCTCTCTCCGGATGGACTGTCGTGGGCTTCGTTGATTGTCTCCAAACAAACATGGAACCGCTAATATCCAAATAAAAAGTGTATAACAGCTTTCATGTCAGCTGTTTAACTTTTTTACGTCATCGGTGGTTCAATATTGAACGAAATCCTTTTGTTTCATGACTTGAACAATTCAAGAACTACGTAATTCTTTTTTGCAATACAGTTAAGGACTGTAATTTTTTATCTGACTACTTTGTGCGACTTTTGTTGTTTGGAGGGAGGAAATGAATAGTCAATAGGACACTTTGCTCCACCTAAACTTTGTGTTTCCTTTCCCCCGCTAGTTAAAGACCCAGTAATCATCGAATACAGTGATTTAGTGGTTATTTTACGTGTCAGTTGACGTAATTCGTCTTTTTAAAGCAGAATATACATTACTCAGACCAATTTATGTACTCAGCTGTATTGCTGAGATTCGGTTTCGGATTCAACCACGTGAAACTTACCTTTTGTCGCATCTCTATAAATATTGTCAAAGTTAGTGGACCATTCGTTACCCCCTTATGTCCTCAGTCAGTAACAACGTAGAACTTCGTACGTACGTACATCAGTTCGAGTTGCCACACCACATTAGCACAGAGATGCAGTGGTCGATTCAAATCCCGTAGTGGTAGAGGTAGCAAGAGTATAAGCAGTAATCGGGAAGATTAGGGTTTGGAGATGTTATTTAAAGAGTATAATCCAGTGAAAGAAATTTGGAAAGAGGGAAAAAGGGACATGAAGAATTCAGAAGATTAGAGTTTTGGAGAACACAGAGAGTGGATGCACCTGCGCCATTGCGAACGATTTTGAGCCATGTCATTCAGGGTCTCTAACCATCGGTTGCTGTCATCTCGCGGTCCCCAACCAGGTAGTCTACACCTACCAACATGACTCAGTTCACTTGTCACTGACTTCATGGACTTGTGCCATGTTTTGGTTTGGCCGCCCCTAGCTTTCTTCCAACCTACTCCTATACCACTGAACATAGCACGTCGAGGCAGTCGGTCGTTGGGCATACGTAACACGTGTCCCAGCCATCTCAACTGATGAAGTTTCACTACGTCATCAATTGATTTGCCATCCTTACCTAGTACCCGTTTCCTAACAACTGTGTTACTTACTCGATGGTCCCATGATATACGAGCAATGTTTCGAAGACACCTATGATCGAATACTAGTAACCTACGGATATCCTCTACTCTTATCGGCCATGTTTCACTGCCATAAAGTAGGACGGAACGAACTGCTGCACAGTAAACACGTCCTTTGGTTGATAGACGGATATCTCGCCTACGCCATAAATGACGCAAGTTGGCAAAAGCTAGTCGAGCCTTCTGTATCCGTGCTGAGATTTCGTCACACACCAAACCACAAGGGCTGATGAGACTTCCAAGATAAGTGAAGCGGTCGACACACTCAACTACTTCACTCCCTATCACTAGTTCGGGTGTCGATGTAACCCAATCCTGAAGCAACATTTTGCATTTCGAGGGAGAGAATCGCATCCCGAACATGCTTGCATTGTTGCTTAGAGTGGTCAGAAGACTCTGCATTTTGTCAGCGTCTTCACCAAATAAAACTATGTCATCTGCATATTCTAAGTCAACAAGTGAATCTCCTGGTAGAAGTTCAACCCCTGTAAATTTAGATGAGGAGAGTGTTATCTCTAAAAGTACGTCAATGACAAAGTTGAACAAGAATGGGGAGAGTGGACAGCCCTGACGAACACCACTTGAGGTGATCAATTCTGATGACAGTTCGCCATAAGCTCTCACTCTACCAGTTGTGTTCGAGTAGAGAGCCTTTATAAGGTTAATGTACTTCTTTGGTACTCCTTTCAGTGACAAACACTGCCATAGAACCTCACGATCAACGGAGTCGAATGCCGCCTTAAGGTCGAGAAATACTACTATTGTGGGGCGTCTGAATGTGTGTCTCTGTTCTAGAACCTGACGTAGTGTGAATATCTGATCTATACAACCACGTCCAGGTCGAAAACCAGCCTGGTTTTCTCTAGTCTGCTCTTCACGAGCTTTAGTTAGGCGTCGAAGTATTATTGAGGCCAATATTTTAGACACTATATTAGTCAAACTGATTCCTCTGTGATTGTCACAAGAGGACTTTTGTCCTTTCTTAAAAACTGGCACAATCAGTGATTGAGACCAGTCAGATGGGATTACGTCCAGTTCCCAAATTCTACCTAAGACCTCAGTTAATCTTGCTGCTAATACTGGACCACCATCCTTAAAAATCTCAGGAGTAAACCTGTCAGGGCCTGCTGCTCTCCCTCGTTTCAGATTTCCTATGGCTTTTTCAACTTCGTAAAGGGACGGAGGACTTACATTAACTTGCCATTCAGGTTGACTGGAGATCGTGGGAAACCGAAGTGTGGCTGAAGGCCAGTTGAACTGATCCCTAAAGTGTTCTGCCCATCGATCCAATCTCCTGGATTGAGAATGAATAATATGTCCATCTTTCTCTGAGATTGTTTCGCTAACGGTCGGGTTCCTAATTCCGGTTTCCTTAACGAGTCTAAACAATTGTCTGCTATTACCTATTGCCGCTGCCTTTTCCATCTCTCTTGCTTTCGCTACCCACCACTGTTCGCGATCATTGCGTAGACTTCTTGTCAGCTTGCGCTTAAGCTGACTCCGCTCTTCATTATGTTCAGAGCCAGGTGGAATGAGTTTTCGAGCATCTATCAGTGCGATAGATGCTGCTGAGATCCAGTGTTGCTCCCTAATTTTACGGTTTACCTTACTAGCAGATATCACTGCTGTTTCCACAGCTTTTCGGATATCGTTCCATGCTGCCTCGGGGTGGGCATCACATACATGGCTGCCTAACTGTTTTCCTAGTTGTTCCTGAAATATATTCTTAGCTTGACTATCATTAGGTAGGGCCCTAAGAGGTTTCCTTGCAGGATCTTTCCTACGTCCAGTAAGACGCAAGCAAATACGCGCTCGCACTAGAGCATGATCTGAATCTAGGCATGTGCTCCAGAATGAGCGACAGTCTTCTATCGAGCCCCTCCATCGGTGGCTGATAGCGATGTGATCTATTTGGGTCCAACGTTGGGACGAATTAGGGGGTCGCCATGTTAAAAGATGTTTTTCCTTATGCTTAAAGTTAGTATTTACAAGGAACAGGCGGTTATCTGAGCATAGCTGCAACAGACGGTCGCCATTATCTGTTCTTTGAGCCACGACACCATAGGATCCACCTAGGTGTCTTTCCTTATCGCTTAGTTTACCTACTTGAGCATTAAAGTCACCGGCCACTATTACTACATCCGAGCGCTTAGCTTTTCGGAGAAGGTCCGAAAGCTTTCTGTAAAACTCATCTTTTACATCATCTGAGCTGCAGTCAGTGGGAGAATAGGCAGAGACGACGAAGAGGCAACGACGAGTGTCCCTATCTTTCCGGATTCTTACTGTTCCGTTCAGTCGGACAGCGCACAAACGACTGTTTACTGGGATCCACTCTAAGAGAGCTAGTTCTGCCCTAGGACTCAATGCTATACCTACGCCGGCGAGGCCACGGGAAGCAGAATCAGGGCTTCCAGATACACGAAGCGTAAATCGAGTCGGTTCTTTATTTTGGCATGGTGAGGTCAAATGAATGACGCTACTCGGATCTTGTATGCGCGTTTCGGAGACGCAGCACACATCGATGGCGCGAGATTCTAAAGTCCTAGCTAAGGAAGCCTGCTGTCCTATTTGGCACAGTGTTCGTACGTTAAAAGCTCCTACGTGCAGTTTAGAGCGTGGTTTCAGGAGACCAGGAATGGCGTTCCACGTACTCGAATCGTTTGCCCTAGCGGTGCGAGGTGATAAAGAGACGTGAGGAGGGTTAGTCGGGAGGATAAGAGAGGTATTAGGAGGTGTAGGAAGGATTTGAATGTGACCACCTTGGTCTCTTGTGCTGTTACGGGTATGAGGGCTGATGTCACTTCCCGGCTGCCCACACCGTGGAAGGGTATTTCTTGATGAACCTGAAAAGGAAATTGGATTAGTGTTGGTCTTGACGACCTGGGAGCGTGACCGCAGAGCCCAAGGGACAACTGCTTGAGGCCGGTCGCGCACGGCCTTTTTGTGGAAGGTTTTTGACGTGTTAGCTCCGTTCTTCAAGGGGCCTTACCGCCGGAGACGGAAATCCGTGAGGTAAGGTGAGGTGTGCATTTTTAGGGTCGACCTTTTCTAACCCCACCCCTCCTTGTGGGAAGGCAGCATCGCTGTCATGCTGGTTGTCCGAGGGAAACACCTTACTGCTGTCACACCTCTCTACAGTCAGCAGTACGACTTCGCCCTCAGACCTTGAGTTGCTGCTTTTAGTCTTACCGTTCGCCAATCGACCTGCCTGGCATGGTAGAACCTGCAGGAACATATGTTCCAGCCAATATAGCTCGGTTGGGTCATCACGATAGGCAAGCCCGACCACCGCGTCAAGGTAGCAGCTTCGATCGGGTACTATCGTGGTGGACCAATAAGAACTCAGAAAGGACTCTAGGCTGCTTATACAGGTTTATGTGTTATTGGCTTGGTCAGTAAGTCAGTGTCCTCAATCGGCAATGATAACTGACAGGCCACAAGAACATAACATTTTAGAGTGCTAACTCCCTAGTTTCTCAAGCTCTTCTATCAACACCCGAAAAACACATAACAAGAGTGAGATCATATGACCATTTCTTCTGTCTGTGATAATGCAGTGTGCCTGAAGAAGCCACTTGTTTGCTGCAAATGTTTTACTGCAAACCTACTCAATTACAATCAGTAGCACGAGTTGGGACTCGGACTTGAAATTCAATGCTTATGATCACATCTCAAAATGATAATACTTCAAAGAATACGCGTTATACTGTCATCCGTTATTTTATTAAGGCACTCCAGATTGAGTTCTGATGATCGTGTAACTCAATAAAATGAGGTCTTATCAGGCAAGGCTTAAAATGGGAGTCATTAGTGATTCTCCAATGGTTACTATCACAAACGGTGAAATCCACCTCACTGGAAACATTTAACTTAATAAGTGTTATTTTCACTTTTAAAAATGAATTTTGTTTTTCACGAGTTATTTTTGTACATTAGTATTATTATGATAAATTATAATAAATTATTTTTAAAAAACTTAACCAAAACATTAAGACATCAACTCACTTTCGCTTTATCTGACCATTTAAAACTTTGTACAGTAACATCTAAACGTTTTAAAAGAGTAGCTTGGCGACTGGAATATTGTTGTTGTAGCAATGCGGCGATACGCATTATCTGTGACCATTGGCGATCACTGATACCAGTCAGTGGGATAATTGATTTCCCCATATGATTGGGTGGGCATCTTGAAAGACTATCGGATATACCTTTTTGAAGACAAAGTTTAAGTTCGAAACCTCTGCAAACAATTAAGCTTTTATTCTTACAGCTCCGTTGAAATGTAGGTTAATGGCCCCAATGGTTTACCATATATAACAGTTAAAATTTGTAATTTATTTCTAATACATAAAAGTTGGGAATAGTCACGCGAAACACCAATGTCAAATAAAGTCCTCTTGTGGATACCAGTATCTAGGTGATCTTTATCATCCTTTTAAAAGTCTTGTATAAAATTGTGGTAACCTTGCTTCAGAAGTATATTGAATAAAACTTCCTTTTCGACCATTGTTTCATCCTTCAGATTCTCAGGGGAATTTACTATTTATTTATTATTTATTTGAACACATAAATATTGGTACAAGATGACACCAAATATATACAGATTGTCTACATTTCTTCATTTTAGCAAAATGGACCCAGCCAAATTGCGGAATTTCAGAGTTGGTAGGGCTTTTAGAGCTATGGGAATCGCAACGATTGTGTCTACTGCGGTGACGGGAGTCGTCGTATACATGTATAATAAGAAAGAGATTGCAACTGCCAGGAAATTCTACCAGTATTTTTCCTCTTTTTAACTGTTCATTTTTAGGTCTTACGATCCTCAGTTGGAATGGAATGTTTTATTAAATTCTGGAATATTAAAAACTGTCAATAAAGATGGAAGTCTTGTCGATCTGCAAGACTAAAACTGTGTAGTTCTACTAGCGCATGTAATATGCATATAGACTTGTTTTTAAAAATTGTTTAGTAGACAGATGTTTCGTTTTCTATTAGATTAATCCGTCATATTCAACTTAGGACCTTGAATAAATGTGCATCTGCCCAAGTTGCCACAATACGTCACAGTGAGTGAAAAGTGAACAAGATCAAAAACAGTGAAGTTGGAATGGCATTAAATAATTAGATGTACGGAGTATGTTAAGACCTAAAATCTAGAAAAAGTAAAGCAAAAAATATATCTGGGCAATTGGAATTGATTTTGAGCCTTGTTACCTAAGGTGTTTTGCCGAAGATTGTGATTATCGCACAGAGACAAAAAAGCCTGCTCCTCTTGACGGGTACTTAATTGGTTCCCTCATTGTCAAAGACTTATTGGCTTCAAGTCACACTTTCAGTGTATAGGATGGCGGCAATATGGAGTTGTCCAACTTGGAAAAGGCAGAGGGGACGAGAAACTCACCCCATAAAGAATATCTCTAATGATGATGCTCTGGTGCGGCCGAGGGTGAGGAGAGTCCGCTCTTCCTCTCAAAATGCTCTTACACTGCCATTACCAGGGATGTCCTATTCACTGCCTTCTCGCGGCGGGGTTGCTTATTAAATTGAGAGGATGAAAAGCAAACTTCCGGCCTTCTGGCCGCGTTGGTGGACACAGAGAGTCCACCTAGGGGAGTCAGAAAACTCTGATTCCAAACAATAGTGCACATGGGCTCCAGGATCGTGAGAGAACAAACCTATTGTTGGTCACCGGCATGTTTGGGATGTGATTCTCGCCCTCGAGATGCAAAAGGTTTCTTCAGGATTGGGTTGCATCGACAGGTGAACTAATGATAAGGAGTGAAGTAGTTGAGCGTGTCGACTGCTTCACTTATCTTGGGAGTCTCATCAGCCCTTGTGGTCTGGTGTGTGACGAAATCTCAGCATGGATACAGAAGGCTCGATTAGCTTTTGCCAACTTGCGTCATTTATGGCGTAGGCGAGATATCTGTCTACCAACCAAAGGACGAATTTACTGCGCAGCAGTTCGCTCCGTTCTACTTTATGGCAGTGAAACATGGCCGGTAAGAGTAGAGGATATCCGTAGGTTACTAGTATTTGATCATAGGTGCCTTCGAAACATTGCTCGTATATCCTGGGACCATCGAGTAAGTAACACAGTTGTTACGAAACGGGTAATAGGTAAGGATGGCGAATCAGTTGGTGAAGTAGTAAAACTTCAGTGAGATGGCTGGGATGTGTGATACGTTTGCACGACCATCCAATGCCCCGACGAGAGATGTTTTATGGTGTAGGAGTAGGATAGAAGAAAGCTAGGGGCGGCCAGACCAAAACATGGCACAAGTCCATGAAGTCACTGACAAGTAGACTGAGTCATATTGGTAGGTGTAGACTACCTGGTTGCGGACCGCGAGATGATAGCAACCGATGGTTAGAGACCCTGAATGACATGGCTCAAAATCGTTTACAATGGCGCAGGCGCATCCACTCTTTGTGTTCTCCCAAATTCTAATCCTCTGAATTCTCCATGTCCCTTTTCTTTTTCTTTCCAAATTTATTTCACTGGATTATACTCTTTAAATAACATCTCCAAACCCTAATCTTCCCGATTACTGCTTATACTCTTGCTACCTCTACCACTACGGGATTTGAATCGACAACTGCATCTCTGTGCTAAGGTGGTGTGGCAACTCGAACTGATGTACGTACGTACGAAGTTCTACGTTGTTACTGACTGACTGGTCACTGGCTTATTTATTTATTTTAACACATAGATATTGGTACAAAGAGGCACCAAGTACATATGCGCCACGCAGGTCTCATTTGATATGTGTGAGGGCTGTGGTGCTTCTGGGTGCCCAAACCGGCTACCGCAGGACGGCATCTCCTAGCGTTGTTCCACTGCCTTGAGAATTAGACCTCCAGATCAAAGGCTCGGGGGTGTGTGTCCTCTAAGAAAACCGCCTGCTTTGGTTTGGGAAGTATTTGATGTAAATGTAGTCAATTCACTAAGTTCGTCTAATGGAACCTGATAAATCCTAATAAAAACGTTTGAGTGGTAGTCGACGTGGTTCACCAGGCTATTAAGCTTGGAAAGACAAGTTATAGTTAACATTAAACCATCCTATGACTCACGGAATAGCCATTTCGATACTATCCAGGTGAAACACGTTAGCTGTGCAAAACTTTTGAGTGGAGCAATATGGTATTGTTGATTCTGAGATTTAATTCGGAAAATTCGTGACAACTTTTATACGTTTAAAGATACGAGCTAATTTACGCTTGAAATCCAACAAGAGTTTTAGAAAGATCTAGGGACTAAGTATACTCATAGTGACCAATCATTTAGAAAGATTCCAGAAGTCATACATAGAATACTGAGAGTATAGACTGGCTACTTTATGACCGATTAGTCTGTTAAGATTTCTTAATCCCGAATTTTTAGCGGCGGAAACTATTGATCACACTGGAACTTGTAAGTCGATTGTTTGCTGGTTTTTGTATCTTGGTGGGAAGATCCAATAATTACTGGGTGTACGTAAAGTAGATAATTAGTGTTGCAGGATTTTAGGATCCGTTTCATTATGAAGCGGGTGGACTTGTTGGTCTCTACTTATCAATTCAACGAGACAGTCAGTCAGTAACAACGTAGAACTTCGTACGTACGTACATCAGTTCGAGTTGCCACACCACCTTAGCACAGAGATGCAGTTGTCGATTCAAATCCCGTAGTGGTAGAGGTAGCAAGAGTATAAGCAGTAATCGGGAAGATTAGGGTTTGGAGATGTTATTTAAAGAGTATAATCCAGTGAAATAAATTTGGAAAGAAAAAGAAAAGGGACATGGAGAATTCAGAGGATTAGAATTTGGGAGAACGCAAAGAGTGGATGCACCTGCGCCATTGTAAACGATTTTGAGCCATGTCATTCAGGGTCTCTAACCATCGGTTGCTATCATCTCGCGGTCCGCAACCAGGTAGTCTAAACCTACAAACAAGACAAAAACCCATAGAAGCTTTAGTTTTACAGAGATAAAATCCGTTTAGGTCTTATTATTTGACTTTCAAAAGTCGCACTACATATCAAATAATACATTCATTTGCAGTTCCTAATATTTTCATTTGCGATGGATGTCGTCCGAATGGTTGTATGAACCCATTAGCAGTTGTCAGGGTACATTTTGTAGAAAATAGATAGCAGTCAGTGTTATCAGACTTGTACGTTATATAATAGCAGCTGGTTAGGTACGATAAACAAGTAGCGTTCCGATGTATTTTTTGTTTGGCATCTACATCAGTTTTTTATTCAACAACTCTGCTTTGACTATATTGTGATATTGACTAACATCATTTGAGGCTCAGTGTGATCAACTAACGAGTTATCAGCATAGTCGGTTGTTAGAATGTCCAGTATTCTGTTGCCAAGTGGTACGCATTGCAGCGTTGGGGTATTTTATAGTTAACAGCATAAAGAAGATGAGCAGATAGTTGTCCCATTCTAGTGTTGTTTTGGTGTTTTGAGCAAATGGGGCAAAGTATATAGTGATTCTTTTAACATGAGGCGACTGAAGTAGGTGGGGGAATGTTTACACGTTTCACATCCGATATCTGTAGATTATTGTATAAACTACGAGATAGTGGGTCAGTCGATTTTATATTTCTCTATACCGACTGTGTTGTTGAGAGGATTTCTCTGTTGCCATTAGTTTGATTCATGTACAAAAGAATTGTTAATATGAAATTAAGAATGCAACGATTAAATATATGTAACAAATGGCCTGTAAATAGTTTAGTAATATAAATGATCTCATTCATACGAATTTTGTTGCATGTGGTCTTCCACTAACTATATGGGAAGAAAGTATTCCAGCATGGTCATTGAATAAAATAACTTTAATCACTATCATTCACCTAAACTCGTCATCTAGAAACAGCTGTATTTACTCTGAGAATAATTGTAAGAAAATAGGTTGACAATTAAGGTGGGAAATGCTTTACTGTACAAAGAAAATATACAAATCAGCTGTTTTCTGTCTTGAAATATTTAAAAAGCCAATCGACTAAACCTTGGAAACTTCCAATACTATGCAAAATTAATCTATTTGTTTTGTCCAGAAATGGTTCCATCATCCAATATGCTTGTTGATGAACAGTTACAAAACTTGTGCCTCCTGTATATTGTGTAGATAAAAGTAACCAATCTTCATATAAATAGCGAAGTGAGTTTTCATCCTCGATATAATTTGGAGTAAAAAGATGTGGGAATTTCAACAAGGCCCTGCCAACCATAACACCTGAAATAAGTAAATGATTTAGAACAATTCCTTAGGGGTTTCCAAATATTGATATATATTTATATATAAAGAGCTGAAATACACTACTGATAGCCTCGAGATAGGCCTCATAAATTTTGCACTGTGGAGGATAACTCGCTATTATGAGCTAAGTGAAATATAGCAATGTTTGGTTCTTAAAATCCGCGAAATCGACAAAAACACCTGTCGTGCAACCAAACAGTCAACATAAGATGGTGCTCGAGCTAAATTACAAGGAAAATACGCTCCTGGTGCAGATTGTGTGATTCAGTGCACGGCTACGGATGTTTAGTGTAGCTCAACAGCAAAATCTTAGAATATACGTATTACAACTACCAAACGTATCCACTTCAAGTCAACATGTCAGAAACAGTAGTCGTGGTGGCTACAATTAACGAGTGCAGAGGTGCTATTTGTGACAAGAAGACATCACCAAGGATAACAGGGGAAACTTAGTGGAAGGCGGATTATAACTAGTTGGTGCAAGTATTAAAATTCATGGGTGGGAGTATACATTAGGGGCAAGTCAATCAGAACGGAAAAGGCGCGAAAATCCAGATACTATGTACATACGATCGGTAGGATCACCTTTGAAAACTGCTCAGAATGTTCAGCAAGATGAAGAAAAATAGTTTCTTGAAACTTCTTTCTATACTATGCTCTCCTGTAAATCTGGTGATATCATTACACGTTCTCCAAACATAAGGGATTCTCCAACTGAGCGCAGAGATTACCATTGCTGGAGTAGGTGTTTTATTCTCCTAAGGACGATGGACGTTTATTTTAAAGGTAATGAATCTCCCGTTGAAACGTTTCCCTCTTTGTAGTATCTGCTACCTGGCAAGCCGTTTTGGAAAGGGCTCTCATTGCATCCATGAGACTCGTCTGCGTAATCTGTAATAGAAATCACAGCAACAACAGAATCTTCATAAGTATTGGGGTAATTACTCATTGAGCGATAGGGCGTCCGCGTGATCGAAATCTGTCCGACGATACTGAGTGTCGAAACCATCGAACGCCCCCAAATGCCCTGGTTTGGCCGAGAGTGGGGTGGGCCCGCCCACCCTCTCGAAATGCTCTCACATGGCCACGCTTATACAGCCTCTGCCAGGGAAGTCCTACTCACTGCCTTCTCGAGGTGGGGGTGTTTACAAAATTGAGAGGACGAAAAGCGAATGTCCGGCGCTTTAACCGGACTCTAAATCAATGGCGCACATGGGCTCCAGTATCCTGCGGGAACAAATGGCGTAAGAACCAATCATTGGTCACCGGCTACCATGAGACTGCATCTCCTCACGATGCTCCACTGCCTTGTGGGTTAGACCTTTAGGTCAAAGGCTCGGAGTGTGGCGCCCCTAAGAAAACCACCTGCTTCGGTCTGGGCACCCGGGAGTATCACAGCCCTCACATAAATCGAATGATTTATGTGGTACATATTTACTTGGTGCCTTCTTGTACCAATTTTTATGTGTTTAAATAAATAAACCACCAAACAGTGTTGTCGCCCACCTGTGAAGTCGGTTTGCGAAATGCGCCGTACAGCAGAAACAGTTGCCAATGCTTCCTTTTGCTCTAACACTAGCGTTTTTCCGCCTTTTTTAGTGATCTGGATGAGTGCATTACTGTTTTTTCCATTGAAAATTTGTGTGAAACTACCACATCATATACAGATCCATCTGCTGCAACTATTAGTGGCATCGTGATGAGTTAGTAGAAAATGAGATCCAAGTAGTGCTTTCAATTCTTCAAAAGCTACTTGGCACTGTTCTGTTCGTTTCCCTTTTGATATTCTTTCCAGGTATATGATTAAGTAGTGTTCGCTTTTCATGTAGGGAAGGGAAAAATGAGGAGTAATAACGAACGTAGAGTCGGCGGATCGTATGGGGCAGACATTTTCTTGGTAGTCTGGATATTTTCAGGGTCAGAGCGTTGTCGAAAACTAACAAATATAAACCTGGGGTACTTCACAGATTTTTAGTCGGTCATATAATTCTTAGGATGTTGTAACCATGAATATATCGTCTAAATAAACGACTATATTTGTAATACCAGTTAGTTGCTGGAATATCGCTGATACCATCTTCACTCCAAAAAACAGTTGATTATAGTGAACTAAACTTCGATGTATTTATGGTCAGTAACTCACGGCATCAATAGTCGACCTCTTCATGGAGATAGGCTTCAGCTAGATCTAGTTTTGCAAAGTAGCTTTCACCGATAAAGACCATCCAGAATTGGTAAAAGGTTATGGTGTTGTTTTAGAGCAGCATTTAATCCCGTCGAAAAGTCTACGCAGACCCACAATGTACCATTTTGTGTCTTGGTGACTATTATAAGGGCTGCCAAAACTGAGAATGAAACTGGTGATAGAACACCTTGTTTTTCTAGGTGTTGGAGTTCTGCGTCCACATACAGTAATGATGTATAAGGTACTGATTTTTTTTGTCGGAACGCTGGATTTGCATATTTTTCCAGGTGAAGATTTACTTTCATTGTAGTGCAATTCCCCAAACCTTCTGTAAAAGGTCTATAAATTGATTTATGATTTTTGTGATATACCGCTGCTATTCTTTATTTAAAATTTTGTTGAATACGTATCGTAATTGAGTATCTTGAAGTCCAAAACTATCGCACCAGTCTAAAACTAATAAATTTGGTACTATTTAAACTTGTGTTAATTTAATTAAGTTATTTATTTACTCTGAACAAGTGGCTTACTTTAAGTCATGAAACGTTAGAAATACAATTTTTCTACTCATCGGGATATGATAACAAATATATTTATAACTAATAAATTTAAGTTATCACCTGATATGTAACATATCCCACTTATAGTCAAGTCTTTGAGTGTTACTGAGCACGATAGGACTCCGATGAGTTTCAGTTTATCACCTGCCGCGCTCACTGCGAACTGACTTGTAGGGTGCAGACTGTATTTTCCCTTTTTAGTTCACCTTTTTCTGGAAAGAATGTTTATATTTGAAGCGGTATTTAATTGTATTCTTATCAAATAGCCATTTATCAGAACTTCAATACGCCTCCTGGTCGGCCTTTTGTGCACTTGATTTACCGTAAATACAGGGAAACATTCAAATGGTTTTATATTTGATATGCACCTTCTTCGGAAATTTGACTTCCGGTAACTTTTACTGCTCGTAATAAGTCTCGATGTCCAACAGTGTAACATTTCTAACAGTAATGGTTTTAAACGGAAAGAACCTTGCGAAATGCCAAGCACCTGACGGGAAAACTTTAGGCTTCTCTTTTGATGGTTTTTCGTGTAATGATTTGGATACTGGGGTCATGGAATTAGGACTTCATTTACTTTGTACTGCTTGAACGTCAAGTCTATTTTGATCACCGGAATGGACTAAGTTGGTGTCGTGTTTGAGGTTCGTTAATCGTTGATAACCTTCAGCAACTTCATTAAGTGTTAACGTTAGGTCCTTATGAAAACGATGTTACCGTCATGTACGAATATCCGTAAATATTTCGAGTTGTAAACTACATGTAAGTAATTAATGATTTGAATTGGTCTTCAGAAAGAGTTTTTAATTTGAACTGCTCTCAGTCTTGATTAACTATTCCAATATGTGTGAGAAAACTGTCCTCTTTGTTCATCACTAATTTCATGTATCGATAACGAGAATTAAAAATCGACGACCGATCACCAAACAACTGACCAAGTGAAGTGATAATATCTGCAGAAGTTTTTTCACGTAGATTTCGAGACAATATAATGTTGCAACATTTGTCAAGTTCTTCTGCACCGAGCTTCCGTTAAAGAATACGTACTTTCCAAGAAACTTCGTGATCGAACTCAACATCAAACATATCTTCGTAACGTCGAAACCAGGTGTCAAATATTACATCTGAGGATGGGTCATAATTAAATTCAGCAATATTATCGAGCTTAGATACAAATACAGGGACTGGACTAAAACCATTAGGTTTCACGGCGAGCACCAAACACACCAATTGGTCAACAATGACTATTTTTCATACAGCTTAATGATTATCCAATTCCACAAAAGAGAGAGCACTTTACGAACGGGAAGTTCAGGCATAACTCAATTAGCATTTCTCAAATCTTTGCTGTGTTGTTACGCAACAAAAGTACCATTTTCGATCCAAAGAATGTGTCCCGATGGTAACATTCTTTTTGAATTTTATCTACGCTAAAAGTTGACTATATTTTCGCCTCAGCTTACTATTCGGTTTTTCAGTTTTTTAGGTCAAGGCTAGTTTTAGTGTATCGTAATCTTTTGCACCACCCATTTTTACCCATTTTATCCGTTCTGAGTGTACTATTATTTGTTTTACAGCTGTAAATGTTAGCTAGAATCTATTAATCAATTCACTATAGCGACCCGGATGCCACGTCGCTTTCACCTTTGATATGCAGTGTGACAAATGCAAAGGTTGGTTCCACGAAACATGCACAGATCTCACAGACTTAGTAAGTCGAGTCGTAGGTGGGTATGTGGTACGTGCAACATGAATGCTGAGGATTTGCTAGGCAACATCATCATTCTCTTGAAAGGTCTACCAAAAACATCAGCAAACCTGAAAATACGTAGTCCTAAAACGGGTAAACAAAGACGCGTAGTGAGGAAAAGAAGATTATCCAACCAGTCATCAAACAGCACGGGAATCCGAAACGCATTTCAACTACCAAGTAGAAAGGTCCCCAACCTGAACGACAAATCTGTCTCCAATCTGAAAAGCTTATTCTGTCATGCAGCCTTTCTTCGGCAAGCCGAAACCGGAGTTTCCCAACTGCTAGGTTATAATGACTTAACCAAAAAACGGCAGCGACACCGCCAACCTTCTCATAGCGCGGTACTTTCGGACATTTCAACCAACCTATACTAACTATATTGATGAGAGCTTCACATACAACTCAACGGGACTCAGAAGTGAACCTGAACGCTGATTTGATGTACCGAAAACTGCAGCATCTAAAAAGAGACACTTCTCCTGGCCCTTATATGGTCCATTATGCTGAGGAGAACAGCTTCAATCTTGACAACACTGTTTAGTGTGATGTTCCCACATTCTATAAACCGAAGCACATCACCAGGAAATTGGAAGCTGGCTCACATAACACCAATTTTCAACGGAGGTCGATGCAGCGAATCTTCGAGGTACCGGCCGATAGCACTTCTCTCTATATCCTCAAAAATTACAGAGTTTTTGATATGTGACGATTTACACGACTACTTACTATCCATAAACTTATTTCCACCCCAAAAGCACGGTTTTAGGAAAGGTCACTCTTGTATAACCAACCTGCTGACCGCGGTGGACAGATGGACAAATATCCATAATTACAAGGGGAAGGTTGATGTCATATACCTTGATTTCTCAAAATCTTTTAATAGGGTCGACCATATATGTCTTATCAATAAGCTCAAACGATTAGGTATCAGATCACCTTTAGTTGATTGACTCACTTCATATCTAAAAAGTCGGGTCAGGGTTAACTTCACATTCTCTCAGGCTATGGAACTTCCCAGTGGAGTCCTCCAGGGTTCAGTACTAGGACCTATTCTTTTCTTGACTTATACAAACGGTCTTCCACAGCAGGTGTCGTCTGATTCACTAATTTTCGCTGATGATGTGGAACTCTGATGGGAAGTATGCAACAAGAGGATAATCTGGCACTTCAGGAGGTTCTGACTGGAATTCATAGTTGGGAAGATGACAACTTACCTTTAACACTTCAGAGTGTAAAGTAGTCTATCTGAGACATGTTTCGGACTACAAATACAACTTAGGTAACTCCCCTCTAGGGTTATCTTAAGTTCAGGAAGAACTCGGAGTGTTGTTATCCTACGATCTGAAGTCATACGCTAACTACGACAAAAATGTCTTTCGAGCAAACCTTGCATTGGTAACGTAGAAGCGCATTTTCGACCAGTTCGACGGAAGAACTTTCCACATTATCTTCAACAGTTTTATACGACCCCGTTTAGAGTACGGAAACAGTATTTCCTTCCTCACTCCAAAATGATAAGTATACTGGAACGTACCCAACGGCGAGCCACGAAATCAGTCCGGGGACTCAAATCCAAATCGTATTAAGAGCGCCTTCAGTCACCAAACCTTTGCTCATCAGAGTGCAGGAGTCTTAGAGGTGACCTTCTAACGACTTACAGCATCTTTAATACTTTTAGGCATCCCCTTAAACACCAACCTAAGCCTATTCCCAACACAAAGCTTAAGGGTAACACCCAGAAACTAGAGACACAAAACAGCAGAATGGACTGTATACACACCGTCTACTCCTTAAGAGCAGTCAAATGTTGAAATTCGCTGCCGGCTGAGCTAGTCCAAGCGACATCCCAGGAGTCTTTTAAGAGGAAACTTGACATGTTCTTAAGGACTGAAACAGTATCTTACTATGATTCGCTAATTTTTTCCTTTTCCTCTTTTGTTGTTAACATACCTAGGTACTTACGTGGAGGAATCGGTGATCCACTGCCACTATATGAAGAAAATAGTTAAGTGAATGCTTCTGTTTCGTCCAGAACCATGTGAACCATCAGTGACGATTGTCTCATTCTTTATTTGGTTAAAATACATCGGTCAAAATTTGATGATTAAGTCGAGAAGCTTCAGTGTATGAGAAAAATGTTCCAAAGACTAATTCCTAAATGATCTATCAGTGGTGCTTCGACTTGGGATAAATTTAAGAATCCCGGTAGTAAAAATTACTTAGGTCGGCGAAGCTATCTGAAAATTGGTTCATAAAGTATGTGTGAAGAATTTTACGGGATCAGTTGTTATCACCTTGTTATAAGGAAAAGTAGTATGGTAACATTTTCTTACATATCACATTTCCAGTTAAGGACTCACCATGACAACCGGTCATTTCCTGAGCACAATATGCATCGTTTAGTACACGGACATCACCATTCAGTATTATTGGAATATCAGTACCCAAGTAAGAATGTTTAATTTTACAGTCGACCAATTCTTGAACCACATTCCATGAAGCACAGTCCCTGCTACGTTGTTGAGGTGTTCTTGCATGTAGTGTAACCCAGTCAACACCCATTACAGATAAACGTCGGACAAGTTCAACGGTAAGTTTGATCTATAAAAAATGTATATTTTAGTTACATAGATTATTTAACACACGATACTAAACACATTAAGGACGTTCTTTTCTACTAAAGAAGAGGTAGTACATATTACTAGGATGTATTAGAAACATTTATTCATATTTGGATACAAAAAATAATTAGGAATAATATCTATAATTAATTTACACTTGATACAGTCTTTTAATCCGATAACTACAAAAAACCAGCATATAAAATCGATTGACAAAAAAGAGCTTTATTAACTCCCATTTAGTATTTCTAGTTATTTGCTTATCGAAAAAAGGAGATGTACAATAGGAATGATATTATTAACGATATAAAATAAGATTTTGTCTAAGTACTACGGAAGTTTAGGAAATATATATTGATAAAGATAAGTATTTTTCGACTTGAAACTACTACAATTAGGATTTCTAAATAAAATATCAGTTATCTCAGAGTAATTTCATAAGATATGGCGACAGTGATTTCCTCATCGATCTAAGTAAGTTGCTTTCTGATATTTTTAGTATGATATGAGGATACAATCATTAACTGTTGAGATTCTGTAGCTGTATTTAGGTTAGAGCAGATAATTTTCGAGCTAATTTCAATGAAATCATCAACATACATTTGAAAGCAGACATCTAAAGAGTCGGTTTCAAATAATATAAAAAATGTGTACTGTTAGTCATAAAACATGTTGTTCTGAAAAGATTTGATGTAGCTTGGTTGGACGACTAGGTTAATCGGGTAAACGGAATAATGCAAGATAGATTTCCTGATATTTACAAACGAAACAGGAGAGTTTTTCTATATGAATATAGTAAATAAAAAAAGAATTAAGCTTATCTTTTTTGTTGACTCAATAGTTAACCTAATTTCGTAAAGTATATAATAAACTTAATAATGAAGTACAATTTAATGCATTACACTTTTTCTATTAATACTAGTGATTTTAACTGTTGCAACTTCCGTCTTATCCAAACCGAAATATATAAAGAATACCTTTGGGATTGTCAATATAAAAGCTGAATATACCCCTAATTTCTGAATTATTGAGTAAACTAGTAAAATTTTGAGGTATATTTTGTTATTAAGTTATTAGGTCTATATTCCATTAATTTATATTGAACGATTCAATTTAACAGGTGAAAGTGAAGGTTTCCTCCACTAAGTCTTCGTTCACTTCAATAGTTTTAATACATCATTATGGTATTGGTGAGTAGTTCTGTTTCCTGTTAGGTGATGAGTTAATAGTTGATGTATCCACCACTTGAGTTATGGCCTTAATTTTCACAGATTATATATTCTGTCTTAGTAATTTTATAAAAACTAGTGAAATTTTATCGATGAACATTAAAATGATACTGAGTGAGATTTTCTTTTCTTTTTTTAAAATGAATAGCCTTGATTACGCTATTAGTATTCCTTCACCAAAGTACATATAACTATATTACTACCGGATGAACGAAATAGACTATCTGAAAAAAAAGACAGTTCAATAATTAAGTTATATCTAGAGCACAAATAAATGTTAAAAAACGCATGAAAATGTTTTATCACTAACTGGATCGCATGAACTTCCTTCTCCAACAGATCTATTACTTGTAGTTGGTATACGGATTTTAGCAGAAATTGAGAATGGACCATGAGATCGTGTTATAGACCTAAATTTATTTTCTGCTTCGTTATTTTTATTTGAATCCTCTATACAGTCTAACATTTTACAACATTCCATGTGAGAATTACGCCATCGCGGAATCGTATTTCGAGCGGCATGTACAATATTGGCAACTTTTTCAGGTTCTTTTAATAGTGCTGATCCTAATCCACTACCTATCGCCCAGCTAGAATAGGAAATGATAATGATAGCATGAAAAATTTAGTTCAAGATACTTAACTAATTTTGTATTCAAACACTAATACATGAAGGAAGAATATTCTTTTCAATAGATTCTGTTCAGATTCTACAATTATATATATCTAAATTAATAATACAAAGTGATCAGACTTAAGCCAAGTACATCATTTAAAACATCCGCATGCAGCTTTTCTAGGGTTACTGCCGGTCACAAACCCGGATAAAAGAGGAGCGTTAGGTATAGGGTCACCAACCATATTTCGTAGAAAACAACCTTGCTAAAAAACGCTAACCAGAATAAACAATTTAAATCATTTGAACTCTGTTCTCCGAGTTGAAGGATCTTCATTCAGAATAATTATGATGCCTCGTGGTGAAAGCCGAGAATCTGTGGAAGTCACCAGTTCGATGCCCCCCTAGCAACCAGAGCAACAATCAATATATGTATGTGGAATGTACGGACAATATGACATACCGGACTAATCAAATAGGTGTGGAAATGAGGAGATACAAGTTGGCGGTTATCGGAATAAGTGAAGTCCAATGGATGCAGACTGGACAGAAAAGATTAGATTTGGGAGAGGTACTGCTGTACTCTGGGTCACGAAGAAGAAAATGCTTCGCACACTCAGGGAGTTTCTCTGATTCTGTCCACAAAAGCACGTATAGGTTGCGAATTCCATGGACCCAGGATCATCAAAGTCTAATGAAGAATCTGAACAACTCGATATTAGTCCATTTAGTGCAAATTGGTCATAGTGCCAGTATAAGCCAATCTTTCTCAATTACTTAACGAGTTAGTAATTTTCGTCAAAGTTTGTCAGATTCTAAGTCTTTCAAACGACAGAAGCAGTAGCCATCTAGATTAAAAAACCGGAGCTGGCGGCATACCGATTCGAACAACACATATAAGCGAACAATTGTTTCCAATTAGATCGTCATCAGGCTTTACTCTAATATACATGAATATTTATACGAAAATGTAAACCAATCAAGGCAATATGGGTCAATAATCACAATGAAATAGAATAAGTCTCTACACATAATAAGTAAAATTACAAGTTGATAGTAGAAAGACAGGTATACTGATAGTAGTAAGAATAATAAAATACGATAACAAACGTCTTATCAATAGTTAAACATTGGAAATAGAAGGTCAAACGTGAGTAAATAGACTTGGAATAGTCAACACAAAACATTTAAATCAATACGTAATAAGATGTGTGTAAATAATTAGATAGTGAAGAATACAAAGAGGCGGAAAATTACAAACAAATATTGGATGTGAAAATAAGGTTAATGATAACAAAATAGAATAAAATAAATAATGATAATAATAAAATTTTTAAAAAAACATTTCGTTAGTTAAGTTATAACTGGCCATGGAAGGGATAGGGGGGTTACATATTCCTTCTGTACACATAAATTGGGGTTATATGTACGAATTCCAATGGCTTCAGCTATATGTAGGAGACGGGAAAGAACTCCATCGGGAAATGATGGAGGTATACGATAAATAACTCGAAATGATTTCGATTTATCTACAGCATGACCACTATCAATGAGAAGTGCCAAGATAGAACTGCGAATAGATTTTATCTGGCCCTTTATGTACCAAGTTGGTAGATGTTCACTCATTCGTTGGCTAAGTTGCCTGGTAGTACGCCCTATATAGCTATCTCCACAGGAGCAGCTGAATTTGTAAATGCACATAGAAGAGGTCAACTCAGGTAACTTATCCTTCGTTTGAGTAGACATCGCTAGTCGACAAGAGAAGGTCAACGCAAGATTGGCTGCGTAGAATGTCCTGGTGATTACTTTAGTTAACCTATATTTCAGAGTGTCACTTGCCACATCCCCGTTGAATTGCACTTTCATGTATAAAGGTTTCTTACGAACAGTCGAAACCTCCGACTTCTTTATTATGTCATACATGTACTTCTTAATGAAAGCACTGAGGTAGCCGATCTCGGTCAGTGAGTTGTTGATAAATTCAAGCTCCTGACTTAGAGTATCTACTGTACAAATCTGTTTTGCTCTGCTAGTGAGACACCTCACCAAATTTCTCTTATAACGGATAGGTGTGAAACTGCAGAAGTGAGTATATTGGCATGAAGAGGGGTTTCTTCTATGCACGCTTCTACTTAATGTGCCGTCACTTCGTCTGCTTAGTGTGACGTCAAGGAAGTTCAGCTTCTTATCATGCTCGCTTTCACCAGTGAAAGTGATCGCTGGGTGAACACTGTTGAATTGGTCTAGGAGTTCTTCCTCACTGATGTTTTGATCTACGATAATGAAGGTGTCGTCAATGTAGCGGCAATATAAATCCAGTTTCTTAATAGTCTCATTGAGAGGTCCATTTTCTAGCTTTGCTAGGAAGAGATCAGCTAAAATCGGGCCTAGAGGCGAGCCCATGGCTATCCCGTATATCTGTCTATAATAAGTATCGTTGAAGACAAAATGTACATTCAGCGTGCATCTTAGCAGCAGTTCCTTTAGACTGTCGTTAGGCAAGCCAATGTTGATTTGTTTTCCTGATATTTGCTTGCATATAAACTCAATAGTCTCTATAAGTGGTACGTTGGTGAACAAAGATCTTACATCCAATGAGATCATATTCTTCATACTAGCATTAATATTTTCCACTTTGGAGGTGAAGTTGAAGACATCTTTTACACTATTTTTAACAACTGATTTGTGTAAAGGTTCTAAGATTCGTACTAGCCACTTTGCAATTTTGTGGTAAGGAGAATTGTACATATCTAGAACTGGGCGTAGAGGAAGACCCGATTTATGTACTTTAGGCAAACCATACAGTTGTGGTGTAAATGATCCAGTCGGCTTAATTGAATCGTGAATCTCGGTCGTAATTATTCCTTTTTTTTTAGATCTTTAAGGAAATTGGCCAATTGTCTTTCTACTTTATTATTGATGTCATAATTACTAGTAATTTTCTGAAATTTTCTAGGATCGCTAAGCATTGTTCCCATGTAATCATTTTTGTTCATGAGAACTATACCTCCTCCCTTATCTGGTTTGGTTATGGTCAGGGTTTCGTTTTTTCCTAGTTTCGTTAGAGAGTCTCGGTGCTGCTTGGTTAGTAGGTGACTTGTGGTACCCTTACTATTCTTGTACTGTTGGCAGCTATCAACTAATGTGGTTTTAAACTGAGCAAGATCCTCCAATGAGGTAGGAATCAAGTCAGTTGTTTGTGAAAATAAATTCTCAAATTGTACATCAGTATCTAATTGGTTGATTCTATGCCTACTATCACAGAATTTAGGCCCCAGAGATAAAGCTTCTAGCTTACCGATTGACATGAATTTTTACTGACCATATATAGCCATTTAATATCAAATAAAATGGATCATGGAAGTAACTTGGTTCAAAAAATTAAGCTACATAAAATGAATTATTATTAATCGATCACTTAGTAGTCACAGGAACATATTTTCAAAGGCAAAGATTCCGACGGATTTTAATCGATTACCTAGTTGAATCTGGTTCGAAAGTCAACGTTTCATATTCAATTGATTCATATTTTTATGCTGTAAGTCAATTATATGTAATTAATTTCTGACACAATTTAATTATTTTCTCTACTGTATAATTTATTCAATTCAGTGATAAAATATTTGTCAATACTAGGAGAGATGAATCAATTAAACAAATAGTGGATTATATGCTCTGTAAGATAGTCGACCTTAATAAACAGATTGAATCTGTGTTCATTCAACAAAATTTTACTAACTTCTATTATTTGTCCACCGCTATTTCTTTAGTTTCAGTATTCCTTCATGCATAACTTTTTATCCCGTGTTCCCAAACCATATTCTAAACATTTAATCTTTTTCAATACAATTAATGCTATGATTACTTCAACTAGCTTGCTATTCGTTGTGTTAATCTCATTTTATTATGCTGATATGGTATAGGAATTAGGGCTATCACACAATTGTGACAGGCTTTGTGTTGATAATAATCGATATTTGTAGAAAAATTAGGAATGCTTCTTGGCGTTCTGTTGACCGGACCCATTTCGGTATTCTATTTCAGTAATTAGTTCACAGGGACCCGGAGACGTTGCAAATTCGGGAGAAAAACATCATAATAACTAACCATTCCCAAGAAGGAACGTAAAACAGATACACCTGTCGATGGAGGCATGGTCTTCATAGCCTCAACGTTTGCTGGATCAGGCTTTCTTCAACAATATTGAATTTCCCTCCAGATGCACTATGGGCTAACTGGGTTGTTGGGACCACCTGAGGTTTTCCAAAATGCTTCCAGGTTCTTCGGTTAATGAATGTGATGTTAGGAGCAGTGTCGAGCCGCAGGTGCGTACGGTGACCGTCAACCTTGATGTACGTGTTACCATTATTTTTCTGGCTGGTGAATAAGGTTTATGTCTCCTGGAATGAAATCGCAATGAACGACGATACATCTTTTTACAGCAAGATTCTTTATGTTGACATCTACTGTAACCATAGCCCTTATACGGGCAAAACTGTTATGACCTTGTATATCTGACTTTTCTATCACGCGACTTATCAACCAATCAGGATCCAGCTTACACAATCTTCGCACTATGCCAAACCAACGACGTTCAACCGGTGTGGGCAGTTTAGCGTCCTAATTGGTCCTATGTTCTCCTAACCCTTCCACTTGAGACCAGAACACGATACCAGCTTCTGTAATATGAATCGAATCAGATCGAATCGTTTACTTCAGGCATACTTGGTTTGTATATCAATCAGACAGACCGCAACGTACCATAAAATAGGAAATAATATTTGTACACAAATAAGCCCAAAAAGTGGCTGTGAATGTGGGAGGCAGTAGTTAATAAACTGAACATAACTTAAGAACCGTAAATCATACAATAACAAAATATAGGTCAAAATAAAGCTTATAATAAGAGGAATATAAATATACATAGTGTAATTGTTGAGTAGTTATACAATAAGAATATTTATAGAATATTGGTCCATGAATAGTCCTTGGAAGTTACCTGTAATTTAATCTTCACCGGATATAACAAAAACGTTTTTTAGTGCCACTCACCGCATAACCAGCACGAGGATGGAAGCTGTTTGTTTGAGCTGTTCTGCTTACGTACAAAAGAATCTTCTTGGCCATTTATTACCTGTACGTATGATAGCCGGCCACTGTTTTCAACCATAGAAGTGTCATGTTTTAAGTTTACCAACCTCTGACATTCAATAATCACTTCTTGTAGCGTTATATTCGGACACTTCAATTTTACTCAGAATTCTAGTCCAGATGCCGTCATCTTCAGACGACCGCAAGCTGAATACAAAAACAAGACACTTGAACTGGTCTTCTGTCATTGCTGATAATTTAAAACGCTAACATTTGCGATTTACCATGTTAGCATGTTGCACCCAGTCATCATTTCCAGTTGTTGGTACTATTAAGAGGCCGCAAAGAATCCCACTAAAGCCGAACCACGAACATGGCCAAGATCGGACGCACCTTGACAAAGAATACATGCTAATTTTTTCCGGTCCAATACAGGGTAGAAACTACTTGTTTGCTGTAGATGTTTTCACCAAATGGTCGGAAGTATATGACATGTCGAATACGACGTCAGAGAGTACAATAAGAAAATTATCAGGATTGTTTGCTTGTTTCGGGGTTCCAGAGATCTTGGTAACTGACAACGGCACTCAGTTTATGTCATCTGCTTTTAAGAAATTTGCAGCGAAAATGGTATAACGCATCTACAGTCTCCTTCGTACCATCCTCAATCGAGTGACCAAGCAGAAAGATTTGTGAATACGATAAAAAGAGCTCTGGCCAAAGGAAGGGGAGAGGTTATTCCAGAAAAAGTGATCGGCAAATTCTTAATGTCCGACAGAGTTACCCCCGATCTGGCAGTGCCAGAAGGAAAGTTACCAGATGAGTGTATGTTCAGAAGAAAAATTCGGACAGTGTTTCACAGTATGTTGGCGCCCGGCAAGACAAATAAACCTACGAACGAGTATCGGGCGGTCACTCACAGCTTCCAGGTGGGAGGAAGGGTACTTGTCAATGATTTCATGGACCAATGCCATATATCGGTTTGGCGTCCCTATCTTTCTTCCAGCCTACTCCCACACCACACAACATCGCCTATCGAGGTAGGCGGTGGTTAAGCATACGTAATACATGTCCAAGCCACCTCAGATGAGGAAGATTTACTAAATCATCAATTAATTTCCCATCCTCACCTAGTACCTTATTCCTTACCCAGGCTTTGGTTACTCATTGGTCCAAAAATACATGAGCAATGCTTTGTGGACACCTATGACCGAATATTAGTAATCTATGAATATGCTCTGTTTTTAATGGCCATTTTTCACATTCATAAAGTAGAACGGAGCGAATCGCTGCGCATTAAACTCGCTTTTTGATTGGAAGATGGATATCTCGTCTACGCCACAAGTGACGCAGGTTGGCAAAAGCCATTAGAGTCTTGTGAATGTGCGCCGAGATTTCGTCGGACATCAAACCATCAGGACTGATGAGAATGCCAAGATAAGTGAAGTAGTCAATGCATTCAATTACTGTGCTACCTACATTTAAGACATCGATGTTACCGGTGGTTAGACATATGTAATACATATCTCAACTACTTTAGTTGACAAATTTTAACTGCCTTATAAACTGATTTGCTATCTTCACTAAGTAGCCTGTGTCTAACTTGACCTGGATCAACAGCATACGACTATGAGGAAATAGTTTTAATATGAACAAACCTAAGTAGTACATTTAAATATGGGGGAGGGTGGAAATAAGTGGAAATTAACTTACGGTTGAGGACAACCACAATTTAAGTCAATTCCATCACAATATGGTGCAAGCATTTCCGTGGCTATAGCAAATTCACATGGATCATTTGACGCAAGTTGTACAATCAACGGTCGATCATCTTAAATAGATACAACAACGAGAAGAAAAGAAAAATAAGGAATTTCAGAAGTTGCCCGTGAGACGAAATTGTTTTCAATTTCAATCATTTAAAAACAGCGAAAGAGTCAACATCATGAGAGTAAATTGTTAGGAATGAAAAAAATACGACACGCTGTAATTAATAGCTTAGACAGTCAATCTGTGACAAGATTTTAAACTTATTTAACGGAAGAGACTGTTCAATATAAGAATGATGAGAATAAAAACGCATAGAACTGAAATAAACCCTCTCTCTCTCTCGAAATGCTCTCATATGCTCACGCGTATAAAGTCACTGCCAGGGACGTTCAACTTGTTGTCTTTTCGCGGCGGGGATGTTGCTTACGAAATCGAGAGGACGAAAAGCAAACGTCTGGTGCTTAAACCGGGTGGGTACATAGGATGCTATCTGATTCCAAACCAATGGTGGACATGGGCTCTAGGATCCTGAGGGAACAAAAGGCATATGGACTCATTCTTGGTAATCGGCTACCATAGGAATGCATCTCCTAACGTTACTCCACTGCCTTGTGGATTAGACCTCTGGGTCAAAGGTCTAGGGAGTGACCCTTAACAAAACCACCTGTTTCGGTTTGTGCACCCGGCCAGTATCACAGCTCACACACAAACTAAATGACAATTACTTTGTGTGGCGCATATATATTTTAGTGTCCCTTCGTACCAACGTTTATATGTTTAAATAAATAAGTACTCGCTTTAAATGATTGGAAAAGACTGGAAGATGATATTATATATTTATTCTCCTGGGCAATCATACAATTTTTCCAATACTAAACTTTACAAGAGTATGTAGATTCCTACAGCAAAAGCATGATTCAAATTGAATGGCGTTGTACAGATGGAAAAGAAATTCCAATCATGGTCTAATTGACACTATAAAGACCATAGAGTGACTGTCGTTTTATTAGTCATCATATCAAAATTTGAGATCTGTTATACTACTGAAACATTTATTACCAGGAAAAGAAATCAATTAGAAAGTATCTACAATACGATTAACAACATTTTCAGTGACATTGAATTTACATCGAATAAGAGATTAAGAAAAAAAACGGTAGACAAATATCAGAGAGAAGTAGCGACGAAAATGTGAAAAAATTCAATCTACATTGATTAGCTTCTTAATTATAGCAACAAAGATACAAAACGTTTGTGGGTATATTTTGAATGTGACTAGGAGTAGAATTCATGACTGGTATTTCGTTTTATCTGATATTGAATGTACCTGCTTTCTAGTCGTAATATTCACATTGAGACTTGAACCGATTATCGTTCACTTTAAACAACAATGTGTTATTTACTGAACTACTAAGTTTAGATAACTACTAACATGTTCAATGGGTATAAAAGTATTTGTAAGGTTTCATAATTTCTCATTGTTGATATACATAACTGCAAACAGTATAAACTCTTATTAACTCATAAACACAAAGTGAACAAGTAATTTTTTTTTGTAGAATGACTAACTTGGAAAAGAAAAATCTCTCTGCAATCAAAAAAATTAAGTATAAACAAAGAATGTCTAATCAATGCATGAATTATCTTCATGTTGTTTTATTGATTAAAAATAACAATCAGCTAGTTAGTTAGTTAGTTATAAATGGCTCTTTTAATATTCTTTAATTGAAGGTTTGAAAAAGGTATAAATTTCAATGATCCATTAAATGCAAACAAGATTATACTCACGAAGTTAATGAATTTATTGTTAATGACTTAGAAAATATAATAATTATCTTACAAAACAGGTTGATCAATTTCAATTCTCAACAACAATGGAAACATTCAAATAACTAATACAAATGAATTATCTTACAAGTTATATTTTATGAAAAATAAACATAAATGTTTATCTAACCAAATATATTAACAAGATGATATCTTATTATAAATAATCGCTAATTTAACTTTATAATGATAAATTGGAAAATTACTGAAATAATAGAATTGATAATATTCTCACATAGTTAATCGTGAAATCTGATATAAATAAAACACAACCACTAGGTAAGCTGACTATTTACATATGGATCAGATAAAATATGATTCACTCAGAATATAATTCAATGATATTTATTGAGTTAACGATTACTTTATATGTGCTTTACATAAAGAAAGTTTTCGTTAGATGATTTGCATAAAGAATGATTTGATAATTAATATTAAATAATGAATCAATCAAATGATATCTTAGTGATCACAGTCAATAATATAGACTAAGGTTGTTTTTTTTTTGTTGGATGGGGGTGATGATGGTAGAATGATGTTCTATTGGAGTTAATCGAAAGTATTGGTTAACTTGAATAAGTTTATAAAAATTGTTTTCTAGTGAAATACACTAATTGTACAGAGAGTTATAATGCTTTATTCCGTAAATTAACTGTTTATTAATGAAACCAGTTATTAATTCTATATATATATATATATATATATATATTTCACAGTTTTGAAATCATGAGTCAGTAGAAGCTAGACCACCATTGAGCAGTCCCATACCAGGACGAAACGGCCGTCCAGTGCTTCCAGGTTTTCAATGGTGGTCTAGCTTCAACTGACTCATGATTTCAAAACTGTGAAATTTCTAAAAATTCTCCACAAAACCCATTCTGATAATAATAATCAACTGCTCACTAGTGACTGACTTCAGGAAAAACTCCTGAAGTTCTAGTGAGAAGCCGTTACCAGTGGAGTTCAACCGGTCTGTTGTGAGATAACAACTCACTGAAGACAATGGTGTACGGTGGCGCAACTTCGTGGATTGGTTGAAGTTAGACATTAACACCGTTGAATGCCGGCTCAGTGGTCTAGTGGTTAAGTGCTAGCGCGCGAAGCCAGTAGGTCCTGGGTTCGAGCCCCGCGTGGTGCAGGATCGTGGATGCGCACTGCTGAGGAGTCCCATACCAGGATGAAACGGCCGTCCAGTGCTTCCAGGTTTTCAATGGTGGTCTAGCTTCAACTGACTCATGAGTTCAATCTGTGAAAATTTCTAAAAATTCTCCACAAAACCCATTCTGATATATATATATATATATATATATATATACATATATATATATATATATAATGCTTGGTTATATTTCTTTGAAAAAGGTTGGATTAGATTACTGAATAAAATAATGAATTTACTTAATTATTATGAGACTATTTGTTTAAATTTAAACGGAAATTTCTGGAAGTTATTAATTCATTTATTATAAATGAGATTTTTGTAGTCCGTTATCTGATTCTAATTTGATCGTATGTTGATTGTTGTTATCGAAATACACATTTCACCAGTTCTCGTATATAATCATCGACTTATATCACATGTTAGTAAATAACGGAATTAAATAAGTCAAATACGAGAATCGTTGATCAAGACAAATGATTGAAGAAATGAAGCGAAGTGAAATGATGTGCAGTGGAGAAGGTATGTAAACCGACTCGATTTAATAAAGCGTTAATCGATGTTTATAGTCGAACAAAAATAAGTTACAGATACATGATGAGTCAGATAAGAAATATATATACACACACTCAAATAAAAACAGTCAAGGTTAATAAGCAAATTAATTGACAAGGTCATAATGTGACAAGCATAGAGAACGAGTAATTTGGTCTGTATGAAAACTAGAATAAGCTATGAGACTTCGACATAGTGTCAGCCACTACAAGATTATGGTATAAATCAGAAAATAATATTTGATAGTGATTTAATCAGTCAGTCAGCTACAACGTAGGACCAGGCACATATATGCATCGGTCCAAGTTGCCATATCTTATTAGCGCAACAAAATGATGCAATATATCGATAATAGAAACCAATAGGATGATAATAAAAATGAAATAGAATAAACATTAAATTACTTGAACAAGTTGTAAACTCAACGTTTCTTGCTTTCTCTGATCGAATAAATGAATTAGCCAGTATCATGGGTGTATGAACTAAATCAACGTTATGTTTTCGAAGTAGTAAACGGAATGGTAATCTATAAATGTATATAAACATATGAAAAAAATATACTGAGATAAATTGAAAAGTAATGAAGAATGAACTGCAATGTGATAATTAATAAGGAATATACACATTAGCAATTGGTTAAGACTACTGTACTCTACATCTGCTTCGTAGAAAAAAAACGAATTATTCAAAACACCGTGGCCTTGTGGAAGATTTTTTTCACAATTTGTTTTCTTTTTTTCAAAAAGAGATATGGGTCATTTGAAAATATTTTCTGTCACACACTGGTGTGTATGATACTAATTTTGGAATAAAACCATTAGCAATTATATTTGTTATACAAGGGCCCCCAAGTGTCCTAGTACGGTCAAGAGTGGGGAGAGTCAGCTCCATCTATCGAAATGCTCTCACATGGCCACGCGTATATAGCCTCTGCCTTCTCGTGCAGGGGGTGCTTTTACAAAATTGAGGACGAAAAGCAAATTTCTGGCGCTTTAACCGGGTTGGTGGACATGGGGAGTTAGACAACCCTAATCCCAAACCAATAGTGCACATGGGCTTCAGTATTCTGAGGGAACAAATATCTATGTGTTGAAATAAATAAATAAATAAAAAGAAACATACTCAACAATGGCAGTTTATGAAGGCCTAATGCTTTATCGTATTGAGTGTTATTTCTATGTTCAAAACTATTGATAGTTTATTTGATTACAATAGTTTTCTCTTGAATTCCATATACTATGCTGACTATTATTTGAAGAAACAGACAACTATTTAGTGTATTTAAATTGTGGTGAAACGAATTTTGTTAATGGAGGTAAACGGAGGTTAAAGGATCAATGGGGAATGTTAAGTTTGTGAAATATAGTGATTCATAAATATGTACATCATGAAAACGTTGATTATTGAAAGAAATATTGAAAATTATGTACTAACTTTGTATATCGAACCATAGGAGCAGAAATCCGAACAAAAGGTATATCATCTTTTTTATAGCATGAAAATATATCCATAATCCTGGAGAAATAAACAAGAAAAAGTAGGTGTATTGTATGCATTCATTGACCGAAGAATGAACAATTGTTTGAAATCATCATGATTAAATTATTCCAAAGTTGATCTAGCCTGTATAGAAGTAGTTAAAAATAGCTTTTCCAGGGCATTATTTAAAATCTGCGACCAACTACAAATATCCATCACATCATAATTATTTCATGGTACACGACACCTGTTTCGATATGAAGTAGCATTACTTAAAGGCAATGGTTTTTAAGGGAGAATACAACAAATTTGATTGATAATAACGTAACCTATTCACCAAGTATGGAGACCTATCTATACGGCTTTAAGCTGAAAATACTTTTATGGTATAATAGTATTGGAAGTAGTAAAATTTCATCTTTCAAAAGGCTAGATCAAAACTCATTCCCAACAATTCAGTGCTCCTTGATTTCTTAATGCTTTTCCAGACGATATCAATTCGTAATGACATTGAAAGGACAACTATTACGCCAAAAATGAATATTTCCGAAAATATGAACTGCAAAAAATAGAGTATTGTCAATGAATTCTTTCATTTTTGCTACTCATTCGTTTTATACCTGTCAATGAATATTTGACTCTGGCTATAGCAAAAAATATTAGTTTGGAAAACTTATCATTGTAGGACATAAGATGAAAGTTGCTGAAAAGTATTATGTTGTTCAAGTACTTTTTCAAGGACATAAACGTAATAAGAAGACATTCAAACACGATCGATACCAGTATAAAATAAAAAAAATACATTAGGCTTAAAAATATAAGTTTATTATCCACATGCATACAAGTTGTAAAGATGTTTATTTTATTATTTTACTTGAAAACATAAATATTGGTACAAGGGGCACCAAATAGATATGTGCCACACAATAACAATGAGGCTGGTATCAGTTATCATTGATTTGTGTGAAGGCTGTGACACTCTCCGAATACCCGAACCGAAGCAGGTAGTTTTCTTAGGAACCACAACCGGAGCCTTTGACTTAAAGGTCTAACCCACAAGGCAGTGGAGCAACGTTAGGACATATAGTCCCATGGTAGCCTGTGACCAACAATAGGTTCAAACGCCACTTATCCCTCAGGATCTTAGATCTTATGTGCACTATTGATTTGGGATTAGGGTTGTCCAACTCCCCTAGGTGGACTCTCCGTGTCCACCAACCCAGTTAAAGCGCTGGAAATTCGCTTTTCGTCCTCTCAATTTCGCAAACAACGCACTCGCCGCATTGAGTAGGACTTCCCCGGCAGTGGCCATGTGAGAGCATTTCGAGAGAAAGAGCGGACTCTCCCCACTTTCGACCGCACCAGGGCACTTGGAGCCTGTAGAAACGTATAACATAAAAAAGCACAATAACGTTGTGTATTTGATTAAGCATTTAATTATTGTACGGTATCAATGTAAGTTTTCAAACTATTTATTACAAAACAAAGAAAGAAAGAGAAAAATAAAAACAGAGAATTCAGTTTTATATTTTGTGGAGAAAACATTGCGAAGGAACTAAGTCTTTTTTCTTTCAAATAAAGAAACAACTAAAGTAACAAAATCAACGATAATAACGGTATGAAGATCACTATTTCGTTTATTATAAAAAAAGGAAGTATTTTTTTATTGACGTGTGCTGTTAGTTGATGTTCCATGAAACAAATGTCGTATTCGAATTTCAAATTCTTCAACGGACAATTTAATATATTTATCACGATTTGTTGTGAATGCGATAGACATTGATTTTTCCCAGAAACCACGATATAAAGCGACTAGATCCCGTACTAATTGATGCTCTAAACTATTTTTCAATTCTCGATCAGGTATTGAAATAAGATGATGTTGTTTAGTTAAAGTATTCAGTCCATTATTAAAATCCTTAGAATACAAAGCAAGGAGAAAAAGAGATATGAGTTAATAATTGTAAATCTTGATTACAAATTAACTGTAAATAATCTAGTAGAGAAAATTATGTGAAACACAAAAATTACAGTAGTATATGCATTAATCAATTAACTGCTATTACGACATTCGTCCTGAAGCAAAATATTCATTGGAAAGCATTTTAGTAAATACATTTTTACTTTATACATATAAACTTGAGAATGTACGGCGGCTTTCGGTATTCGATTATATCGACTCCTCAAAATGCAGAGAGTTAATATTATTTGTGAGCTAAATGAAGATCAGCATTGAAGTGGGGGCTTTTTATGTTACAACACTGACATACATATATTTGTCATGTTCCACTACTTATCGAAAGCAAGTTGATGGTCTAATTAAACAAAACCGAAAGTTGGTCAGTTTATGATGCATAGATGAAGTGGACTGTACATATCATGGAAGTCTCATTAACACCGGTTAGTTGGTGTCTGACGAAAAATTGGCACCGATTTGGAGACCTCAGTCGGTCTTTACCAATTTATGTCACTTATGGCGTAGGCGAGACATTCGTCTGCCAGCCAAATGAAGAGTTTACTGCGCAACAGCTCACTCCGTTCTACTTAATGGCTGTGAAACGTGGCCTTTAAAAATAAAGGGTATTTAAAGGCTATTAGTATTTGATCATAGGTGGCTTTGAAGCACTGCTTGTACATTTTGGGACCATACTACACAAGAACGACGAACCGGTTGATGAGGTAGTGGAACTTTATCGACTAAGATTTTTGGGACATGTGTTAAGTATGCCCGTCCACCGACTACCTAAACGCACAACGATGACTGGTGTACGAGTAGGTAGGAAGAAAGCTAAGGGAGGCCAAACCAAGACGTAGCGTCAGTTCATGAAGACACTGACCATTGAACTGAGTCATGTAAGCAGGTTTAGACTACCACGTGATTATAGTAAACACTTGCTAGAGGCTTTGAATGACACTCCTTAGAATAGTTCGCAATGGTGCAGGTGCATGCATTGCTTGTCTTACCTCACATTATTAGCTTCTGAATTCCTATTTTATTTCACTAATTTGCATTTTCTAGAGTAATACCTTTGATGTCTGATCTCTTTAATTAACACTAATACTGTTACATTTACTTCTCTGGAATTGCCCCCAAATGCCCTGGTATGGCCGAGAGTGTGGTGGGCCCGCCCTCCCTCTCGAAATCCTCTCACATGGCCACGCTTATACAGCCTCTGCCAGGGAAGTCCTACTCACTGCCTTCTCGAGGTGGGGGTGTTTACAAAATTGAGAGGACGAAAAGCGAATGTCCGGCGCTTTACCCGACTCCAAACCAGTGGTGCACATGGGCTCCAGTATCCTGCGGGAACAAATGGCGTAAGAACCAATCATTGGTCACCGGCTACCATGGGACTACATCTCCTCACGATGCTCCACTGCCTTGTGGGTTAGACCTTTAGGTCAAAGGCTCGGGGTGTGGCCCCCTAAGAAGACCACCTGCTTCGATCTGGGCACCCGGGCAGTATCACACAAATCGAATGATTTATGTGGTGCATATCTACTTGGTGCCTCCTTGTACCAATGTTTATGTGTTTAAATAAATACTTCTCTGGAATTCGCCCTAACAATTTCATCTCTCTGTGTTAGTGGCGTAGGGCAACTTGAACTGATGTACATGTATGTGTGCCAGTTCTTATGTTACATATAACTGGCTAATTGAAGTCGAGTTTGGTAAGATTTTCATTTATCGGGACATTGTAAGTAAAACTGGAATTATCCCGTTTACCACTCAAGTTCATGTATTAATATTGGGATATGCCCCATCTTCGACGTCATTATTATGGATGCTGTTTTATCCAGAGCTCTGTTTCGTTTAATTTGTGACTTGTGTCTTAGGTGATCTAAATATGCTTATTTACACTAGATTTATACCATTCATGTTATTTAGTGTCAAACGGGTTAAATTCTTCTTGGTTTTTAAGTAGTATAATGTTGATGAGTTCTCATTATCAATAAAGTTAATTCATTGTTCCATAACCATAAATTACATGAAAAAGCAAACAATATGAATTAAAAATACGACAAAAATGGTACAGATACAGTCATTCGAGCATAACCTTGACTGATAGATAGGACAATAAATTTACTGAGAAACAGAAACAACAACAACAAAAAAAACCCACTAATACAAAAGGTATCCAAAGTTTTAAAGTCAATCGATAAAACTCACATTCCAAAGGGATTTTAAAAAAGATCTCTCCTTTTGATCTATCTATTAAAGTAAAAGAGATAAATATAGAACAAACAAGTTACAGTTAAAAAACAATTTACTCGATAAAATGATAGATACATTCAAGTAGATGATCTACTGTTAAAATAATAAGAGAATGAATGATTTACACAAATAAACATACATGCATTATGAATGATTTATACAAATATAACGATGTTATATTAGTAAATTAACTCACAGAATAACGATTAATTAAACCAGTAATACGATTTAAAATATTACCATCTGGTAATGAAAGCATGCGTGCACACCTACAAAGAATTAGGATCAATTTCATACATAGAAACAGAAAACGAAACAAATTCAAAAATAAAAGAATTTTGAAAAAAGTTAAAAAAATTATTCACAATTTCCTAGATTATTCAGCATAACATGAAAAGAAAAGAAAAGATCCTCTAGGTAAAATAATTTCGAGACAAAATAATTAAGGTTATAGTATAGTACTATGTTATTAACATGCCAGTATAAAGCACCAAATTATGTTTGCCGCAATAATGACCATTAGTAGGAATGCAAAGAGTTAAGATAAGAGTTATGATTACTACTAACTAGAAAATTGATAAATGAAAACAATCACACAATCATTATTATTCAATAATTCTTCATTATCAAATCATGATAAACAAGGCTATTGCATGCATAAACACAATATATGAAAATACGAGAGATTTTACAGACTAGTAAGAAGTCAACTCGAAATCGATGAGATAGTACTATATTTAGCACAAAAAAAGACACCTTGGTTAGATGTTCATCCACAGTATCTTGAGATTGCTCATTGTTAGTGGTTGAATGTTTATGATGATTAGTGTTTAGATTTGGTGATAATACAGAAGCTAGTAACACAGATCCAAATTGAGAGGCTCTACGTCGACGAATACTACTTGATCCACAACTTTCAGGAAAAGGTCGTAGGTGTAGTATATCAGCACAACTAATACATAATTTTTGTTTATAGAAAAAGAAAGGATTAGTTATCTAGTTCATGACTGAAGTGAGAAAAATAAGTACAACAGGAAACAGATATAATGAAATAACATACAGACCGAAGGTCCTGGGCTGGATTCCCAGTTGAGAAGTCGTGGGTGTGGGATGCTGAAGATTCCCATCCTAGGACGAAACGGACGTCTAATCCTTTCAAGTTTCTAATGGTTATTTAACTTAGAAAGGCTCTTGATCTCAATAAAATTCTGCAATCTCTAGAACTTTGTACTAATAGAAAGTATAAAGTTTGCAAAAATATTTTTCTAAAAAATATGTTGATAAACATGAAGAGTGAATACATCCAATTGATAACCTGGATTCACGATGAGTCTAGTTGTCTGTGTTTCATGGATATCTGCCGTTTAATTAATTAATTTAACATGAGATAGATAGTTTGTGTTTATGCGCTATTCAGTCAAGAGACTGGGACAGTGCATAAAAACATTTTCACTAAGACAATTTTTATAGTGATAGGTACTGAGTTTATAACAATGCTTTCGTCGAAGGATTTGTTACAAAACAAATTATGCTAGGAATGGTTAGACAAAATAAACGATAAAGTATATAAAAAGTATTGAACATTGAAACAGATTCTCTGACTCTAATTGAAGTTCAAAAAACCATAGATAATCTGAAACGAGGAAGAACAGCTGGTCCAGATGGACTTACTCCATATGTCTTTAAAAATGGTGGTTCAGTTTTAGGTTGACTAATATTTTAGCTAAAATCTGAGAACTGGACGTAATCCTATCCAACTGGCCGCAATCATTGATCGTCCCAATATATTAAAAAGGATCCATAGGGGGAGTAGTATGACTACCATAGCATCTAAAATACTAGCCTTAATTATCGGATGCTTAACAAAGACTCACAAACAGCAAATACGAGAAAATCAGGCTGGTTTCAGATTTGGTCCTGGATAAATCGACCACATGTTCACCAATTGTCAGGTTCTAGAAAACGGGCATGCTTATCGGCTTCCGACAATGGTGGCCTTTCTTGACTTAAAAGTGGAATTCGACTATGTAGACTGAGAGGTTCTATGACAATGTCTGTCATTGAGAAGTGTACCGCAGAAGTACATAAACCTAGTGGGGGCTTTTTACTCGAACACAACAAGTCAAGTCAGAGCTTTTGGTGAACAGTCGTCTGATTTTGCAACCTCAAGTGGTGACCGTCACGGCTGTCTACCATCCCCATTTCTGCTTCATCATAAACCTACAGCTGCCAGCCTGAAATCTGGGGTAAGTTCATCTGGACCAGTTGTTCTTCCTCGTCTCAGACTATCTATGGTTTTTTGAACTGCAATTAAAGTCGGGGAGTCTATTTCAATGTTCCATGTTTGGAAATGTTAGGTAGCTAAATGCTAGCTGAAATGATCATTAAAGTGTTCCATCCATCGTTCAAACGTCTGGACTGAGAGGAGATAAGAGTTTCATCTTTTTCCGAGATTGTTTCACTCACACTTGAATTCCCAATTCCAGTTTCTTTCACTAGTCTGAAAAGCTGTCTTTTGTTACCTCCATATCTTTTGCTTTCATCGCCCACCACTGCTCAAGATCGTTCCGTAAACTTTTGATTAACCTAGATCTGATTTGTTTTCGCTCGTCACTGGGTTCGGAGTCTGATGTGATAAGTTTACGAGAATCTATCATTGCAACAGATGTCACAGAAGTTCATTAGATTTTTGTAACCCTTTGGTTTAAATCATTAACACATGTCACTGTTGTTTCCACAGCTGTTTGTATATCTTCCCAAGAAACATCTGGGTCAGCCTCGCTTTCAGAACTGCATCAGCGTGGCTTCAGTTGTTCCCGGAATCCACTTTTGGCTTTCTCGTCACTGAGTTCGACTCTAACGGGTCTTCTTTGCGTGGCCTTTCTGCGTCCAGTGAGGCGCAAGCAGATGGGTGCCCATATTAGAACATGGTCGAAGTCCAAGCAGGTATTCTTGAACGAGCGACCATCTTCTGTCGACCCTCTCCAATGATGATTGATGGCAATATGGTCTATTTGAGTCTATCGTCGGTTTGGTGCAGGGGGTCGCCATGTTGGTCAGCAGTACGGCTTCGCTCTCGGACCTTAGGTGTACTGTTTTTAGTCTTACTGCTTTTCAACCGACCTACCTAGCATGTCGGAACCTTGAGGAACGATTGTTCCAGCCAGTATAGCCCGATTGGTTTATCTCGATAGACGGGACCGACCACAAAGTCAAAGTAGCAGCAACCGTCAGGAGTCAGGTTTATTACCAATTAACAGATGGAAATTATCCGGAGAATCGAAGTCAGTCAGTCAGTGACAACGTGGAACTTCTTACGTACGTACGTCAGTTGGAGTTGCCATACCACATTAGCACAGAGATGCAGTTGTTGATTCAAATCCCGTAGTGGTAGAGGTAGTAAGAGTATAAGCAGTAATCGGAAACATTAAGGTTTGAAGATGTTATTCAAGAAGTATAACACAGTGAAATAAATTTGGAAAGAGGAAAAAAGGGACATGACAAATTCAGAGGATTAGAATTTGGGAGAACACAAAATCAAAGAGTTAAACATACAATATTCGACCCATCGGGATATCAGTAATATATATTCTAACCAGTAAATAAACTGAATAAAGTTTGATTTTCCTCAAAACAAAAACGAAATAGATTGTGAACACCAAAAACGGACATTTGTTAAACATACCATCGTGTATAAAAAAGTTTACGTTCATCCAATATACTAGTAATTTTGGCAACAGCTTCACGATCTTGTGATAAAAGATAACGGTGAATATTTGTCCTAAAATTCATCCCAATTACCAACACAATGAAAAAAAAAAACGTATAAATTAAGAAAACCTGTATTATTTAGTTGTACAATGAAGAAAAACAATGATATATCCATTTATTTAAACCGAAATATGGAAAAAAGTAATTGGGAATAGATGATTAAGTATCAAAATTATAGGGATTTGTGGAGATTAATAAATATTGGTGAGATCATGAACCAACCCAAGTTAGACAACCGTCGGATACCTGGAAGCCCCGTACAACTATTTCATCCTAGTATGGGACTTGGCGTTGTCCATCTATAACCCTGCCACCTGGGGTCGAATACAGAGCCTTCGGTTTCATGGGCGCACACTTAACATTGAACCGAAATTCAATGGTGTATATATCTGAATTCAATCAGCTGAAGATACAGAGCAACCATTTCCCGTGGTTGTCTGGTGCGTGGAACGAAAAGTATGGAATGACATTGAAATTTAAAATATAAAGAACATGTCTATGCAACCGTGGTCAATTTTGAGATATGTCAGCAAACGCTCCTGTCCAAGAAGTCTGGATTACCCCCCACATATCTCAGTAAAAAGGTGGGTGACTTTATGGACTGATATCATGCTCTTGTCTGGCTGCCCCTTATCTCCTTACAATCTATTACTATGAATAGCATTGTGTAGCAAGGTAGACGAGTAAACAATAATATTTTACTCATGAGGAATATACGTTATACATAAGTAATAATAACAACGATATTTAATATTCATGACAAGTTTCCTTTTATTCGAAAGCAAAGTTAGTAGTTGTTTGTTAAACAATAGCACGAAACTACCTTATTATGAATGTTACAAAATATTTGTAAAGGTTTTTGTTATTTCTTACTAAGTATTAAAACTTTTTTTTTAAACCAAAATTCTGATGGCTGTTTATTAACATACATTTTGTAAATCAAGTTAGTAATTCGTAAAGTAATTTTATCACAAAATGAAACCAGTAGTAGAACAACTGAAAGCCAAGGAGGACTGGGTGAGTGTTTTGCTTTAGTAAAGAGCCCATCATGAAAAAGTGCACACTCATGACCTCATACGGAGTTGAAACCACAGTTTTCGGGTCTTAAAGTGAGAAGAATATCATTCTTTAATTAACCTGAGAAGCTGTCCATGAGCTCAGTCTCGACTGAGATTGTCCATCTGTACAGTCAAGCAGTCTTAAGCTAGAATATCCAAGCGTCCTAAAGCACATCAGTAATCAACAGTTCATCAACTGGTATCAGTCAGCGATAAAAACGATTTTAGTTCGTACTAAATCTTTACGCGAATAGGTTGAAAATCCCTCCAGTGTTTTACTGGACGGTACTGTTATTTCTTTAATCTTTTGTCCTACCTTATGTTAAAATTTGCTGAGGTCTCTTGTAACTTTATCTTATTTTCTTTTCTCCTTTTTGCCCGGGTTTTTACCATTTAACTTTAGCAAAGATTTACCTTTATTTAATTTTGCTAGTGCATGTTCCCAACTTGTTCAAAATGAGGTCGTATTTGACTAAACTCAAGGTTTCGGCATGGTTCGGTTGATGATTGTTGACCTTAGATTACCTGCTGGAAACGGTTACGCGAATCATTGTAAATAGATATTTGATCTCATCTTGTAAGGAATCGTCTTAGTGATTCTCAGGTACAGATCACTTGTGTTTATTAACGATTCTATTGACAGTTTAGTATGCTATTTTGTGTTAGATAAACCGTCGACTATGTAGCACAGGCTATATCGTTTAAGGTATCCTGTACTTATGACATAATGGCACTGAAAAAAAGTCAGAGCCTTTCGAAGCTGCCCGCCATTTCGTTTCAACGACCTTGAACGGCCTGACAAAACGCGGTCATTCCGTATTTCAATTGCCGTGGGTTTGTTAGGTTGCATGTGTATCAAGTTTTTTCATATAAGTCATCTTTCGCTGCATTAAAAAGCACAAAATAACTGCCAAAAGCATTAATTTAGCGTTCTCTGTTTTTTAGTGTACATATTGGCTCTTTTGTTGCTTCGTAACTTGATCAGTGATCCCAGCTGCTGTAGTAAATCTCAACGAAATGTCAAGTCACCGGTAAATCTTAAATATTTGTAGTACTTCCTTGGGTTATTATTGTTTCAAGGAATAACTTTTTTATAATTAATGATTTCTGTTCGTAGTGCTTCATGCTCAAGTGACATTTCAGTGGACCTTAGCGGTGTTTTTCAAAGTATGATACTGAACAAGCGTTTCGCATGCTGGGATGACTTTGATAGCGCGCTAAAAGAGTTCTAAAAAGTATGGATGAATAATTTTATTCCTTCTCAGACTACCCATACTCATTACATCCACACGGAAAGCAAGTTGCTGAAGGACGTCAGGTTCAAATACCTGTTTGTTACGTTTCACTGTACATTTGGTCATAAGCGTAATTCGGAATGTTTGAAAGTGAATCAAAAACCGTGAGAACTTTAACTAATATCTGACGTTTAAGGTCTAAATTCTTTAATTGCCAATCAAAGTTCCGTGTAAGAATGGAGGAGCAAGGATATGTAATCAAATCCTACAAGATGCTCCACAATCATCCATGTAGTAGTTCATGGATGGTTTGTGATCCATGGACAAGGAGATTGTAGTCGGAAGAAAAAGGGAATTTGAAGCCAGTCATTTTGCAGTCCCAGTCATTCAGCTAGTTAGAAACACATGACTTTTAGAGGTATTAATATCATGGATACAATAATTAATTTGCAACAACTAGATTGTAAGTTTTGCAACATTTACTTCGGTCTGAGCAGTTCGACAGAGTGTGGTTTAAAACTGAATACTTAACTTTGTATTCCCTAAATGGACTACATGAATACTATCACATTATATAAGTTTAGAAATCACACATACTTATAAATACTTTTCAATATGTACTGAATATTATTCATTTGGAAAATCATTCGACGTATCTCTTCAGAATAAACTTCTGATTTACGTTCCAAATTTGTCATAAGAGCGAATATAGCATTAACTAAGAGGAAAAAACAATTTTCGAAAATAAGAATGGTGAAAAAATAGTCAAATGCTTATAGATCTATGTATATGTTGAGGTTAGACACAGAGTACCAGGGAATGATGGTAAATCAGTTGATAATGTTGTAAATCTCCGTCGACTGAGATGGTTGAGCCACGTGTCACGTATGCCTGAACACCGATTACCACGACGCACAATTCTGTCTAGTGTTGGGAATGGTTGGAGAAAGTTACAGGCGGCCAAACAAAAACGTGGCCTCAGTGCTTGAAGTCACTAACTTCTAGTCTGAGCCATGTTGGTAGATGCAAACTAATTAGTTGGGGTCCTCGCGACTATTGTAACCAATGCTTGGAGATTGAGTGACACGACTCATGATCAATCACAATGGCGTAGGTGTATACACTCTTTGTCTTCCCTTAAATCGTGAGATTGAAATTACTTTATACCTTTCTAATTCTTTCTTCCTGTACTAGATCCTTTTACAAACTTTCTTTTATATATTACTACCATTGAAATAACTGCTTTTATGAATTTAATGTTCATCTTGTTTTGCTAATGCGGCATGGCAACGTGGACCGATGCATATATGTGCCTGGTCCTACGTTGTAGCTGACTGACCGATACGTTGCAAAATAAATTTTGAATAATTTATGACATTTATGTGGTTCCACTGAACAACCCAGAATTATGTTACATAATTTCATTCCTGGATTAAAAGGCTCCAAAAGGTGAAAGGAAAAAACAAATAAACCCTGATGAATATAGTTGTCATTGCTTCTGAGAAATATTTATTTCTGAAGCAATTAAATGCGGCTTTTGGAAGCGACCAGTAGTGTTGCAATTGTTAAGTAGTTAAAATAAAGGATTTATATGTAGTTGAAATGTTCTTGTAATGGTGATTTCAAAGCACTTTTTTAGTCAATTTAGAGAGAGGTTTCGAGCGAGAGAACTTTTGTTTCAACAGATGTTTGGTGATGGCTAGAGGAGTAGTTCAAATAAACTTCAGGGTAGTCACTCTAACATGAACATCTGATTCAGAAAGCTAGAAAAATATTTCTTAACTAGCGTTTGGAAGCTGAGACTTCATGATCGGTCTTGGAATGTTGTGTATCGGTGACCTATTGAGCAGAAACCATAGGTGATGAAACCCTGAGGTGATAAGTATCCCATATGAATTCGCTCTATTAAAATGCACAGATCAAGTTTAGTATTCCATGTTTATTTGTTCGCTTTGTATATTGTACTCTTAGGGAGTTTATCATAGTCGTGATCCGAATTATGAAAGAAACACTTCGGATGCTTATGTTTCCTAATTGAATATTGTCTTCGGTGTGTAAACTACGGTTTGTTTTTGGTACGTTTCTAGATCTCCTTTATGTTATAACCACATCATAGTAGATATTCAGTTGGTAATATCAACAGTTAAGTAGGGTTTTATTTTGCTATGAGAAAGCAGTAAGGCATTTTATAAGGGATAACTCATTACTTTTTTACAGAGAACTGTGCGTTATAAGACTTTTTTTCAAGTTATCCTTAACTCTTTTGTATTACTGCAAAAACATTTCTTCAACGAATATATCAATGACCTTATAGTATGTATGCCAGATAAATTTCGGATTATTCTGAAATGGATGTGTTCACATAAAGTTGCAAATAGGATTATGTAGACTAAGATGAATGTAGTTGATAAATTGTGTAGGCCAACTAAAGTCGTTCGAAAAAAATCATTTATAAATGCCTATTTTCGACAACTTTAGTATTTCGACATTTGATTTTGTCATAAAAAACAGCAGTTGTATATTGAATAACTCATTGATCACAAACAAATGAGACTCATGCATTAAACAACAAAACTTCCAAAATGAATAGAGTGCATGTTTCTAAATAGATGTAAATAGTTCTTGCTGATCAGAATATGTACTATTTTCCCTCGAAAGATAATAAGCAACGTTTTATGAATAAACTAGTTTCAATTGTCAATAACAAACTAAAAAAGTACTTATCATATAAAAAAAGAAAAGAATCCTTACATAAATAATTCCCAAATTTATTTTCCAAAAAGGCATGATTTTGGCCAATAGTGGTAAGATATTTAAGTGTGTTAGTGGTAGCTTGTGGACCAGCTTCAGTAAATGACAAAGTAGTGCCAATAATATCAGCGAATTCTAACAAGTTTTCTAAATACATCAATGCCTAATCGATAAGGAAAAAAACAGATATACATAGATATTTCAAGTCAGTTCAATGTGCATAACAACAATACTGATACGTATCAATTAGTAGGCACAGTATTTTATAGAGGGACTCGTTAGGTGATTAGACGTAGTCAGCAGGCGATATTGGACCTAGATTTTATGATACATGGCACTCATCAACAAGACTTATATGTAATTCTGATGGAACTGATGTTTACTGTGTGATTCGAACCCATTTCATTTAGCTTCACAGTCTGAAACGTTATTACTGAGGTGCTCGAGTCGCGTCTGATCTCCTGAGGGATAGAGATGTTGATAGTTGATGATTTATTTGATTATCACCTCTTGGTGTGACGAATTGAGCTAGTGTACATTTGCCTCAGGATAGTACAATTTTTATCATTTACTTTAGGAAGTCATAAACTAAGAAAGAATTCTTAGTATTTACCTTTTAAATGTCATCTTGGAGAAATGTTACATGCAAAACGGTGATGAATAGTGATATTTTAGTCTGTTGTTTATATAGGTCACAAAAAAGTATTTTTGTGAAATGTATACTCGATGAAAGAAGAATAAGAACAGCAGTGACTAGAAAAAACCAAGAAAGTTTATTTCATCAGTTATGAATATTAACACATTATCAGATTGTTATTATTATACTGTACCGATAATCCTTAGTAAACTTTGAATGGTGTTTTGATGATCATAGAATTGAACTTAAGATTGACTTTGTTGCACGCATACAACATAAATGACCAATAGATAGTCTGTGTTACCCTTTTCTGTTCCGAAGCAATTGTAATTTAAACATAATATTTTGCACACTATTTTCTACTCTAGTTCCCAGCAGCTTTGGGCATAATTGTCTTTTTCCTAATTATTGTACGTTGTGGTCGGGTTAGTCACCTTCTTATTCATGTACCTTTTTACACTAACCTGGATTTCAGAAGAAAATCAGAAATCAGGATATCGGGAATAGATCAAGTAGTGTTCCAGTTGTTTTGTCTTCTCTCGTCCGCATGCTTGTCAGCCAATCAGGTGGTAAAATAGCTTTCTCCCCTCTACCCCATTTCGAACTCATGTGTACTAGCCTCAAAGTTAGGTCCGTCAGCCTATCGCGCCAAGGTCTTAAATCTGGATTAGATAAGTAACCTCAGCACCAAAAGTGGATAGACAGTCCAAGGACATAACAGTTACATACTTAAAAACACTAGGAGGGCTTCACTACAAAAATGAAAGACTATGGTAATAATATACAGCCCCTACTACCTTGAGCTAGCTAACACAGACAGCTTGCCTTATTTGAGGTACTAATCAATGTAATTCATGATTTCCTTGATCCAATAAATGAAATAATAGATATGTGAGCTAAGGACATATATCTTTACAAACTCAATTGTCATATTAGATCGATCATCCATGCAACTAGTTATTTAGACTACATCACTTAGGTTTTCAGTTTGCTTATACAATCCGAAATTGTATTGACAGCAGCAATAGGACGACTAAAAGTGAAATGACAAGGTCTGATTACAGTCAACAAAATGATGGGACAAGTGTACAGGCACAAATGAGGAGTATTTGAAAGAGGCTTGATGCAACCTAGAGAATTTTCTAAAAAAAATTTCACATTACTGATTAACATTTTCACTGAACAGATCAATAATATCAAAAAGGGTTCTTCTTAAAAATATACCACTAATTAACAGCTTTTACAGTGTAAGTCTATTTTATTCAAACATCCACCAAAGTTATGACCAATGAATGAAAAAGAAAACATATTTGTTTTTATTCTTTAAAGTTCAATACACAACTATCAATGAAATTTCACTTACATTAGTTGTAAGTTCATGTATTGTTCCATCTTCGGGTACAATATTACTATTTGAACTAGATTTTTCTGTAACTTGTTGTAAAAATTGTACATAAGTTTCTAGCGTTATTTTACTTTGACTTAATAAACGAAGAACTAATTGATTAAAATCAATTAATACATTATCAACACCCTATTTAGAAAATAAATAAAAAAGGAAAAAACAAATTAACATTAGTAGTTGTTAAGTATATACAAATTTATTACTAAAAATTGATTAATTTATCAAATAAAACAGTACAATGGTCTCAATTGCGAGTTCATACAATCATCGTTATTTTTTTTAAAAAAGCTTATATTTACACTATTTTAATTTGGACATATCCATGATCTGATCTAAATAAGATCCAAACTAGAACATTGAAGACAAAATTTAGCAGTTACATTTTCTACCTTAATCAAACGCAGTGGTACGATATGATCATTATTTAGCGTTATTCCATATAGATGGTGGGGAAGATTTGTAGCTCAGGTGGATGATTTTGGTGGAGTTTTGTTCTCTGAGCTGGATGGTTTTGTCGACAAAACTCCACCAAAGTTATTCCATATATAATACCGGATTTCAACCTTAGAGAGAATACTTGAACAAAATCTAACATTTATAAAAAGACAAATGGATGCATATGTTTCCAATAATTAATGAAGAAAATTCTCAATAATTAAAAACATTTATCTTACCTGAAGTACAGATACAAGATCATCAGAAATTTGGAAAAACTTTTTGAGTACTACTAATAATGACATAACCATATGAAATTCTGCCCGTCCTTGAGCTCGATGCATTAAACGAGTTAGTGTCTATGGTAAACATCAAAACAAAGCAAAGTCTGTGAATATGAACCAACAAAAGTGCGATGTAAATATTGCTGAATCATTTATGATATTTAATGCTTATTGCACATCAATTACATTACATAATGATGGGTTAAATAGATAAGAAGTTCCTGAAGAGATATTTTGGAAACAAAATAAAAGAAAACGGTGTTTTATTAGTCTTTCGACACATGTTTAAAAAATATTGGCTACCTACCGCGTACGATGTCTACTAAAAAACAGAAAAACTGGAATTGTGGTCGAACTGGAGAGAGGGATCGATTTGTCAAGTCAGTCAAGTCACTCATAATATAATGTGCATAGTGAATAATCTCCAATAATATCCTACAATTTTCTGATTATCCAGAATTCTGAACAGGGTGAGAAAAAAAATCCACAATCTTCAGGTTTCTGTGACGAATGCCCTCTTTATTTTAAACTAATCTGCACAACTGATCATCCAATAAAACTTGTGATCACCGATAACTCTAAGATGAATTTCTGAAGTTCAGGTAAAAATTTATGACCGGTGGACCTTAAACACGTTGGGGGCGAAACAGTAGTCACCAACGGAATTAGACGGTCATCATTCTGTGTAACGAACTGACTGAAGTTAAAAATGTACCATTGGATCCCAAACAATTAATGTGATGGTTAGGATCTCACCACGACAGCTGAAGGTTCTGAGTTCGATTGCTCATGAGGTCTTACTGTGCGCTGTTGGGAAATATACATTAGTTCAAAGAACAGAAATTTAGAAGTGTTCGACAGTTAAAGCCAATCAGGTAGGAAGGCCTAAGCCTAATCGATAGAACTAAATTAGCACTATGGATTAGACAAAAAGATTATAACTAGGTAACTAGGTGGTGTGAATGTTAGTGTAGGGTTTTCATCATGCAAATAGCCTCCAATAAGTTGTAATGGTAATTTTGGATTCCAATAATATACTTTTAAGATACTGACTTATCATTACTGATATCAAGCATTTTAATAATATGACCTATTAAAGAGGGAGAAAAAGAAATAGACTTACAGTTCCTTCAGTTAGGATATCAGATGACCCGTTTTTAAATATATTGAACAATAACACTTGAGAATCTTGTGGACTAGCAGTCAACTGTAAACGATCCAACAAAATACATTCATTCTAAAAAATATTAAATAAAATAATGATAATAGCTAGTGGAGGATAGTTACTTTAATTTTATAGGAAATAAAACACATCCTCGTGCACTCCTACTGAGTAGTAACGAAAAACTACGGTCAAAAATCAAAAGACAACTGAAGGTATTGATGAAGAAGGAGAATGTAAAACTTACGACTTATAATTGATAAACTAAACTACATTCAGTGGTTTACAACTGGTTAGTACCCGAACAAAATTATCGAAGGTATAAAACTTAGGAAATAATCCTATTATTGAATGATCCACCTGGCTTAATAAAAATTTGTAATGGACAATGGGATTATATTAAATAAAAAATACGCTTAATGCAACTCAGCACTTATATGCAAACCCATGTACTTCATTATTACTGGTACTAGCTGCGTATTCAAAATGAAGTATCGGTGATCAGCAGGTTTTGAACCTGTGATACAATAATCAGATAAAATTTATGATGATTCATTTACTCAATTCGGGTTTTGGAACCAGACCGGAGATTTGACTCCGATTTGTATAAACGAAGGAATATGACAAACGTAAATCTGTTTAGTTCTATATATTACGTATCGATTAGCCCATTTGTGCGACGGCGGTAATAATAAGCCAAATACAGATTAAGTTGGATTGGATTTGCTTTGGATTTTCATTTACTCAGATAGACATTAAAAATAAGAAGCGGGAAAGCGAAGCGTCTCAACTCTATTTGATAAAGTGTGACTCACTATTTAAAGCCAGACAAAAATAAGCTGAAGATATTTGAGGAGCGAGTAAGCGGTACACACACATGCTCATATGAAAAGTCAAGGTTACAAGCGAATAACTGACAAGGTCGAATAATGGCTCAAGAGGAACAAAATATTCGGACTCTCTGAAAGCTAGAACAACCCGTGTAGGCGTGACATAGTACTGGACATTAGAGAAGATACCAGGAGGCTGTAGGGAGCCCGGTTCAAACCCGTGATAAATAGCTGGAAACTATGGGTTTGAACGACTAAACAATAAAGTTAATAATTGAACATCGATTGTTTTAACCACTGCGGCACTGTTTTTCGAAGATACAATCTAGAATCTCATCTTTAAAGGATGTTCAGCTAATATATATTGAGAACGATGAAAAATCAATGACGCAGTATTCAAAGTGTACACTGACTTGCATTAATTTGACAAGAACACCTAGAGCGATAGCATAGTGTTCAGAATCAAGTTCATCGGTTTCTGCTTCATTAATCAGTCGAACAGCATTTACTATAAAAAGAAAATGAAACAAAAAAAGAACAGTATATTTACAAGTTATACACAAAAAGAATTATAAAGTCGAATATTTCAATGAACATAAAGAAGATTTATAATTAATAATTTTTTAAAGAACTAGTACGACTTACTCGTTACCATTGATAGCATTTCGGGTACTATTGGAAGTCAGAGAGTATTGGATAGCTTATTCGTTCTAGAGTGAGCTCCGCAGTAGTCCTCACTTAAACCTCAACAAGGATCGAACCTTGGTACCCCAGTTGAGAACAGTTCCTGAAGTACACCGAATTTGGAATAAACCAATTTCCCGAAACTACTCAAAACTAAAAAACTACTTAACAAACTGTAAACACAATTTATTATATGGGAATCACTAATGTTACTAGGCTTTTGGAAGTGGAACATCTCACAGAGCTAAACACTAGTCAGAAAACATGTCTAGTCAGTCAGCTACAACGTAGGACCAGGCACATATATGCATCGGTCCAAGTTGCCATGCCGCATTAGCACAGCAAGATGAACACTGGATTCACAGAAGTAGATAATCCAATGATGGTAATATATAAAAGAAAGATTGCATATAAGGATATATTTACTAGTTCGTAGAAACATATGAAGCGATTTTAATCTCATAGTTCAAGAGAAGACAAAGAGTGTATACACCTACGCCATTGTGATTGATCCTGAGCCATGTCACTCAGTCTCCAAGCATTGGTTACAATAGTCGCGAGGACCCCAACTAATTAGTTTGCATCTACCAACATGGCTCAGACTAGAAGTTAGTGACTTCAAGCACTGAGGCCACGTTTTGGTTTGGCCGCCTGTAACTTTCTCCAACCATTCCCAACACTAGACAGAATTGCGCGTCGTGGTAATCGGTGTTCAGGCATACGTGACACGTGACCCAACCATCTCAGTCGACGAAGATTCACAACCTTATCTACTGATTCACCATCATTCCATAATACTCTGTGTCTAACCTCACTATTACTTACCCGGTGATTGCAACAATATTTCTAAGGCATATGTGGTCAAGAAAACATATCCACGACTTTACGAAGCATAAAGTTAGCCACAGTGCCAAGAAACAACACGAAAACAGAATTTTAATCACTACTTTAACCAATGACGACACGGGAGGAAAACAGGTATTTACAGAGTTTTCTGAAATTTCATTTAGAGTCATATATCGAAAGTGTACACTTTAATGCGGCGAACTTAACTGGGTTCGGGTAGCTTAGAAATCCCGAAATAGGACTAAAAAACACCCTGTCTTAGGCTGATCAAGGTTGAACTTTTGGGAAATAGTAAATCTACTACCGACTATTTATATCCTACATGATTGCTTACACGGTATTGTTGTCGACCAATTATACATAAATACTTCTTCAAGTACATTACAGAATTAGATTAATATTGAACTGGAAAATTAGTAAACTAATGATATTAATTTTAACCACAGTATTTATGTGCTTGTTAAATAAAAAATAAAAACAATGACTGAAACTATTTTCAACTGTTCTTAGGAGGTTGACAGCTCAGTGGTTAAGATATTCACCTTACATCCACTAAGTAGCAGGTCTAAACACTGCTCAATCTATTTCACTTTGGGCAACTGATAAATATTGACAACCCTTACACTTAAAGTACGGCTAGAAGCCAAGTAAACATATCAGTGTCCGGTTATAAGTTAATAATAACTACTGTTTATTAAGCAATAACTAACTAAATTTTACTTGATATCCGTGTAATATGCAAAGATAACCTTTTTTAACTGTTCAGAGTACGCACCTTTTCCGCCTATTTTAGTTGTGATTAACATACTGCTGATTCGAGATTAAATGAACAATGCTACATACTTTTAAATAACTAACCATCTACTTTAACTTCTCAACCATCTTATTCAGAATAATTTGCTAACTTAATAACTTGTTATTGCAATTTTCTTTTGATAACCATCATAAATTCTTAAATTTTTGAGGAGATGGTAATTCTTCTTTGCAAATACCATAAAATTAGTGTGCAACTATAATGAAAAAGTCATGAAGCAGTAATTCGCATTTAAAGGGGGAGGAGCGCATCCCAAACATTCTTGCATTGTTGCGCAGTGCAATCAATAGACTGCATTTTATCAGCGTCTTCACCAAACAGGAATATCTGTTCACCTGTCTTCGTACTATCAACTTGTACTTTTACCTATTTTATGTGTAGTGACTTATTCTCTTTCATTGTGATTATTGACTCATATTGCCTTGATTGGTTTAAAATTTTCGTATAAATATCCATGTATATTAGAGTAAAGCCTGATGACGATCTAATTGAAAACAATTGTTCGCTTATATGTGTTGTTCTAAACAGGAATATATCATCTGTGCATTCTAAGTCGATAAGTAGACCTCCTGGTAGGAGATCAAGTCCTGAAAATTCAGTCGACGAGAACGTTATTTCCAGCAGTAGGTCTATGATAAAATTAAACAAAAGAGGAGATAGTGGACAGCCTTGATGGACACCATTGGAGGTTGCGAAATCAAATGACAAATAGCCATAAGCTCTGACTCGACTAGTAGTGTTCGAGTAAAGAGCCTTCACAAAGCTTATTTACTTCTGAGGTACTCCTGTTAATGACAGACACTGACACAGAATCTCGCGGTCTATAGAGTCAAACTCTGCTTTTAAGTTTAAAAAGACCACCATTGTCGCCGATGAGTATGCCCGAGTTCTACAATCTGACAAATGGTGAATATGTGGTTGATGTATTCATGAGCAGGTCTCAAGCCATGTTTACTCTCTAGTTAATTTCCTCCCAGCTGTTATGTTATCAGGTTCTAGCGCACTAATGAAGAGTTCTACTTAAATAACTCAGTACCTAATCGAGAAATCCCATGTAGAGTATGTAATTTTTCTAGAATTTTCACATGCATTGATTTTACTTAGTTTATTACGTGATATCAACTATAGTTAGACTATTCTCATCTTAGAAATTTCCTCTGCTTTGTCATGTGATAATCTGATAACAGAGATGGAACATCACATCAGACAAGAAAATAATATTTCTAGAACGTAATAGAAAAAATAATTGGAACGCTCTCAGGTTACTGTTATCATAATAAAGGAAGTTGTATATTTTCAGAGCAATTTTCATAAACAAAGATTATAGAATACTTAAAATTATTGGTTTAGTTCACAAATACACGTTTTCCTTCTTATTTTAATTTAATAATCTTAAAGGTTAGGATAGCCAAAACGTTGACATTTTAACAGAATTAAAAACAAAGAATATGATTGTCAAGATTGCCAACCTACTACGAGTAACTTAAAATGTTGTAGCCTTAAAACGCTCTGTTATTGCGAAAATTGGGAGGATTTCGTTGTTATTTACGCAATGCTGTCACACAGTCACACGTTTATAGAACAGTGAGGGAAGTGCCACTCATACCGTCACATAGTTTTTCACTACGTAAGTGAGTGAGAGGACCAAAGAGAACGTCTGACATCTGAACCGGGTTGGTGAATACGGAGAGTAGACCTAGGGGAGTGGTAAAATTTTAATTTCAAACCAATGATGCACTAAGGAATCCAAGATCTAGACATTTAGGGAGCACCTCAGAACACACAATTTAGATGATGAATAATTATGATGGAGTGAATCACACTGCAGTCAAATAAAGTTTATTATTAGCAAGTAAAGAAATAAAGACAGACAAATCATTCTATTTAAGCTCATTATCAATAAAATGTATCGGAATCGAAATAACATCACTTACTATCCCAAACGAATCCAGGGAGGCTTAAATAAAATCAAATAAACACGGGAAAACTGGTAATAAATTGTTTAAATCCCTGAAATATCAGCAATTTGTAAAATCAATTCGTATGTAATGTCATTGAAAAGATTATCTAAAATAGGCATAAACTTTGAAAAACTGCATACTGATCATTGTGTTTAGGATAATAAATTTTTTAGACAATAAAAACCCCACAATACACCAGTAAGTTTAAAGAAAGCAACTACGCTAAAATTTTCTAACACTATTTGACAAATCCCATCTTAGTATGCATGTAATTAATTTGCATCGCCCATTCAATGACGATTCAACTTAGCATACGTTATTTATATATTCTGCCTTCACAGTATGTGTAGTGACAAAAATAACATTCATGAATTGTCACTTCGTGATCTAAAGATCTATGCGTTAAGGTTTCGAAAACATCTACTGTGCTAACAGCGTAGTTTTGTACTTGGATGATCGAATCTTAATGATATGTAGAACTTTTTTCCAGCCTTTAAACAAATGCCTGATTTACGCAACATCGGTTTATTAGAGGTGATCATAAAGCGTTTGATGTTAGTTGAAACATTAGATGAAGTGTTAACCAAAACAAAGGGTTTAACAATTATGTTCCCTTAGAATAATCAACTAGGTTTGTTTACCAACAGCGGCTCAGATCGGAAGCCATGTCAGCTTCTCTCTTAGTTCTCACATCTTCCATTGACCATCTGGATTTTTTAGCAATGCAAATATGATCTATCTGGTTCTCTGTATCGTGATCCGGTGAAACCTATGCAACTTTTTGCATCCGTTTGTGGGGAATATAGTGCCACCTATGGCCGATTCGTTGAATGCAAATAAGTCTACAAATCTCTCGCCAATCTCATTCCTTTCTCTCAGTCAATGCTGTCCAATGGTATCTTCATATTCAGTGTTGTCTATTCCGACTTTGATGTTCATTTCTCCCATCAAGATGGTCAGGCCCTTTTCCGAGCACTTCGCCACGATCGATTGCAGCCTCTCATAAAGTTGATCTTTATCATCGTCATTCATGGGTACATAACATTGGATAATATTCAGTGTGACTCCCTCCTTCTTTGTTTTGAAGGTCGCTTTGATGATCCTGGGTTCATGAGATTTTCATCCTATAAGTGCTTTACATGTTTCTCTGACCAGCATCAGAGCAAATCCTTGAGTGTGTGGAGCATTTTTCTCTTCATGACCAGAGCACGGCAGTATCTCTCCCAAATCTAATCTTTTCTGTCCAGTCTGCATCCAATGGGTTTCACTTATTCTGAGAACCGCCAACTTGTATCTCCTCATTTCCACACCTATTTGATTAGTCGTCCTGGTCTCTTACGCTGTCCATACGTTTCATGTACCTATATTAATTGTTACTTTGGTTGTTAGAAGGGGCGTCGAACTGGTGACAGATTCTCGGCCTTCACCATAAGGCCTCATAATTCTTCTAAATGAAGATCCTTCAACTCAGAGGACAGAGTTTAGATTGTTCATTCTGATTAGCGTTTTTTTAAACAACGTTGCTTTATACGAGACATTGTTGCTGACCCTATGTCCAACCCTCCTCTTTTATCCGGGTTTGGGACCGCATTAATCCCAGAAGGACCACAAGCGGATAAGAGATTAATTCATGAATATGAAGATGAGTATGCTTTCCAACAAAATAATTAGGTTACAATATATGCATATGACAGCTAACAATTTATTTTTAAATTTTGTTTAGCAATTTCATATAACAAAAAAAACTAACGACATCATGATATAAAGTAGGATAATTGTACAATACTACAAGAGAAAGTTTAATACTTACCGTTTAGCGCGACCACGTACGTTTGGCGGCAGAAATCCTGGTTTCTAAAATAATTGGAAACAAATATGCAAAAAGTATAACATTTTTTGCAAAATCTATAATCAGGAAAATTCATTAGAGATTAACACAATAAATAAACTTACAGATATTGTGCCAGATGATGATGATGATGGATTTTCAGCTTTTCTTAATAATTCACGTACTCTAAAAATATTCCATGTAGTGTAGGGAGATAACTGTTCGTTAAATAGTAGTATCAACAATAAAACACATGTGTAACATGTTTTTGTATCATATATTAAGCATTAAAAAATATTGCACTACAGAATTAAACTTCAAATGAATGGCATAGTTATTACACCACACAAATCAACATCAAAACCTGATGATATGCAAAGCGAAGTCCAAGCCTGCAGCTTAACGGTTACGAACATAATATTTCGACGGCCAAGCACCTATATGACAGATGGATTAGTGACTTTGTCCAGATTTCTTCATTCATACAACGCCCCTTATGCGTGCTATATGTGGTCAATAGTTCAATATTTCACTGAGTGTTCAAATTATACAGTTGTCTTTCCATATTTTCACTAGGTAAGGAATATAGTCTTATTATAATATGAAAATGAAACCATAATAGAATATATTTTTTACACCTTTAGGTATCAAAATTTATCACGATTGATTTACCAAACATTGATCAGACCAAGCCTTATATAGGCTTGTATTCCCATATATATTAAGGCAGTCAAAAATAACACATTATTGAATTAAGGAGACCATGGGTATAAAATAATAAAAATTAATTAGAAAACAAAATTTAATGGATTTGTGACACAAAAGAAAGCTAGATTTTCATATTTAGATAGGTTTTATTTAATGAACCCTGACCTAAACTATGAAACAAATATTTCCCCCACTTACTTAGAAATGACTACCTCAAAACTTGCTTGGCTTCCGATCGCCTACTAGGTGCAGATTCCCACACTTGGCTTCCAATCACATTCTAATAGTAAGCGCTGGATATACTACCTCGTTGGCTAGACTGAAGTAGGTTGGACAGAAGATTGAACCACCAGGTTAGCGTTTAAACGTTGAACGCCTTAACTATTGAGACTGATAGGACGTACCTGAAATGCGATTATCATCTTTATTATTTTCGATGTATGATAAATCAGAAGTTGCTAAGGCCAGTTTGTCGCACGACACTAAAGCCTATTTTTCCCAGACTTGATAACTTTGATTCTGTAGTGAATTGTGTAGGGAAATCTATCAGTATACTTTATAGACGGAATTATGTTGATCGATAAAATGAAACATACACTGTTAACATAAAATTACCTTACTAAATTTAAACGGATAAGTTCACGACGGCATTCACAATATTTTGTCAAACATCCTTGAGATATACCTTGTGGTTTGTTTACAAATGATTGATTTTCACTCATCCATTTAGCAAGAAAACGTAAACTATTCAACATATTATTTGGAATATCCTCTATTTGTTCTGTATCTTCAGTTAATGAACCATCACCTGATTTTTTGTCAGAGACTAAAATTTAAAGGTTTAGTGTTGACAAAATGGATTGTGAATAAATTACTTTATGACTAAATCTAATAGCCATATATCATTAGGTCTTACAGACAAAAGAGTATGGCTTAAAGCTGAATACATAAACCTGAACTTGCTTACCGAATTGCATTAGTAGTTTAATAATAATAGGGAAGTTTTAATTAAATATTAAGCATATGAGCTACTTGAATTTTCAGTAAATTATAAAACTATACAACAGAAAAGTGACCACCAAACAGGAACAAACTCAAGGAGTTGGACTAATATATCTTAGAACAAATCTATATTTGGAAGTTAGTAAATCATCGGATATATCTGTATGATGTAGCAAAATAGGTGGATAGTTGGAAACAAGCCACCTGTTTAAAAGTAAAATGCATGAAAAGGTTAGACAACCCAATCAAATCGCCTATACTGAAGTAGATCGAGGGGAGTTTGTTCCTGTGAAATGTTGATTAAAAACTGAGTATATCAAGTCACTAATTATACATTGTGAGCTAAAGTAACGATGGTCACCTAAATTTAATCAACTAGTGGGTGTGAGAATGATAAACGCCAAGTTCACGGTCGAAGTCTATCATTCTTAAAGAAAAACATCAAATTCAAATAAAAAAGTTAAAATTACAAAAACGCCGTTTAAATTACAAAACAATGAAAGAATGTGCACACTTCAAGTTTGTAAACAGGATTTTATGATTTATCAGAACAATACGGAAAATGATAGTGAATAAACAGTTGGAAATCCAATAACCAATAATATTAGACGTAATTATTGTAACTTCTAGTCTGGTGGTTTCATAACGAAAAACAGCATCTCCTAACTCACCGTAAATATGAATAACTTGGCAAAGATAGTTTCCAAAAGTGAATCTATCTTAATTCCATCTAGAGGGAAGAAATCATTATGTTTCCGTCTAATAGTAGATGACTATTACTTGATTACATTAATAAGATACTCAAGATTATCTCTAACCTGTTATCGAAGTTAAACTGGATAGTTAGTATATCCAGAATAACAAAAAAGGTAGCCAGAAAACAACTATTTCCTGAACGAACAGAAGTAAGTGCTACATACATAATGACTGAGGCAGTCTGATAATTAGTTCAAGAGAGCACTAAATTCATAACTCTTGTCTATCCTCCCAAAATATTAACAGAATTAATGAAGAAAGAAAAACACATTTGAGGGATGGGTTATACTGAAATTCTAAATATAATAGACAAATTAGGATCTTTATTAAAAACAACTAAAAACGCACCTTTTTGATCCATTAATCTTATTAAAGTAGCATCATCTATAGGACGGAAAGTTTGTCTTAATAAACCATCGAATTCACGTTCCAAGCTTCCTAAACCAATTGAATACAATGATGTCTAGGAGCCAAAAAAATTGAAGATACGTAGACATAAATAATTAAATGCAAAAGAAGATAAATACAATAGAAAATAATCATCTGTACAGAAAACTGATTGATAATATTTCATATCCCCTTACCAATCGACTAAATTCAACATCTTGTGGATTATTCTCTTGAAAATAAGCCAACGCATCCTTTATACGTTCCATAGCCTTTAAAAATTTGTCAGTAAAAACTGTCGGTCTACAAGTAGAAAGAAGAGAAAATCAGATTTTTCTCTGTTATGAATTATATATATATATATATATATATATTGTATATATTGTAAAATTACCCTTGTCTAATAGTATTTTCCAACTCACGACCGGTGCGGTGATACTCTTGCACTTGACTTAACTTTAATCGACAGGCCTCTAAATCTGTATAACGTAAAAAAATTTTAAGAAACAAATTACTTAACATGTTATTTTACAGGTTGAAAAACCAAGAAGCTCAGTTACGCAGAAGCAACTTAGAATGTGACACTCTATTAATTAAGCAATACAAATCTACTATTTCTAACTCACTAAGGTGAATATTATTTTTTGTAATTTATTCACTAAAACCTGATTCTCTTTCCTAAAACCTACATGTGAAAAAATATGGTATGAGGCCTCAGTAGCGGTTTAACAGTAAGACTAGCTTTTATTGAAATTTCTACTCAAACAAATCTATATTAAGGTTAGACAAAACATACGATGATGTTTGGTAAGAATTTCCGAAGAGAAATATCTTCTAGTGGGTGTATGAGAGCAAAGATATATTTTACTCTACAGTTCGGTATTTACTACCTCAACCTGGAGATTATTGATACTTAAGGTTAACAAAAAGGAATTATATAGGGTAGTTCCGAATACGTGAAGACTCAGTAAATGAAGTATCTGTCTCCACTGAAAGCTGCATGTAATAGCTAGACATTTATTTAACTGGTAATTTTGGTCAACATTCATTTGTAGATAATAATAATAATATATAATAATAACTAATTGCAAGTGGAGAATAAAATTTGCGATGGAATACAAAACTAACTTCTTTGTAAAATCTGAAGTTGTTCCATATTTTTATTTAGCGGCTCCATACGCGTTTGATAAGATTGGACAGTTTGAATAATCTTTTTAAGCTTCTCACTAGATTGGCTAGAAAGGGTGTTGAATTGATCCTTTAAATTAGAAAGTTCCGCCACGTAGTTTCGTATCTAAAGATATAAAATGGGTAAATGCACAATGATGATGGTAAAAATAACAATATTGTATGTATTGCAGTGTTGCAAGTCCGAACCTCCCTATAACTATTTGAATAGTCGGGTTTTGAATTGAACACGGTTGCTGAAGATATATTGTTCTATCATATTCTTTTTATTCTTAGTTCAACTGCTATCTATAAAGTCCTAAAATTTCAGTGGTGAATTAAATAGGTCAGAAGTAGATTCACTGATTGCCACGAAAAAGAGAACAAATTTAAATCCTTGCACGCAGATTTTCATTGCAAACCAGCGACTAATTTAGACTCGTGACTTTTAAATTATTATTTCTAATATTTGGCGGTTCAGAACGGTTACTGTTATATGTTATCATTAAATGTAACAGTGATAACTAAATCGGTATCTTAAATATTATGTAACGAGAAATCCGAATAACCAAACGGTTTTGTACAGCATCCAGTAAAATGGATGAGGGATGTTAAATGACAGATAAATACGTATTTTATTCAAATACGTATATATTACTTGGGTTTTAGATAACAGAAAGTAGTGGGAAATAAACCACACTATCCTACACCTTGGTGAATCAATAAACCAGACTGTTAAATTAGGGTTAATTGTATATAGCCACAAAGTTTGCAAAATGAGGTGAGTTCGCCTTCCGTGCCAGTCGAATAAATTTATAGGAATGGACTCAAGCATATTTAATCAGCAAACACTTTCTACTACATATAAAGTTCTTAAAATACCACAGGCTAAGCGATGTGGTTTAGGTCAAAATGCATAGGAACGAACCAGGTCTAACAAACTATATATTACTTACATTTGCTAATCTTATTTTAACTCCGCCTGTAGCTCTTTTAGAGTTACTGCCGGTCCCAATCCTAGATAAAGGAGGAGGGTTGGGCATGGGGTTAGCGAACCCATCCCGTAGAAAACTAACTCGATGAAAAAACGCTAACCAGGAAAAATAATTTGAACCATTTGAACTATGCCTTGGAAGTTAGAAGGTATTCATTTAGAAGAACTATGACGCTTCATGGTGAAAGCCCAGTTCCTTCGGAATCCACGAGGCCAATGCCCCTTCTAACAACCAGAGCAACAATTTTCATAGGTGCATGGAACGTCCAGACAATGTGAGGGACCCGGAAGACAAGTCAGCAATGGAAATGAAGAGATACAACTTGGCAGTACTGAGAATCAGAGAAGTTCACTGGACCCAAGCTGGACAACAAAGGCTAAATACTGTTGCTGTACTCCGGTCACGAAGAGGAAAATGCTCCACACACTCAGGGAGTTGCTCTAATGCTGTCCAAAGTAGCACGAAATGCACTTGTAGGATGGGAATCTCACGGATCCAGAATCACCAAAGCATCATTCAAAACAAAGGAGGAGGGGATCACAATGAATATTATCCAGTGTTATGCACCCACTAATGATAGCAACGACGACGACAAAGCTCAATTCTACGATAGGTTGCAATCAATCATGGAGAAGTGCCCATGAAAGGACCTCACCATTCTGATGGGAGACCTAAACGCCAAAGTCGGAATGGACAACACCGGATATGAAGATATCATGAGACGACATGGACTGACTGAGAGAGAGAAACGAAAATGGGAAAAGATTTGCAAATCTATGTGCATTCAACAAATTGGTCATAGGAGGCATAATATTTCCACACAAACGTATACACAAAGCTACATGGATCTCACCGGACCACACAACAGAGAACCAGGTAGACCATATTTGCATCAAGAAAAAAGTTCGGAGGACATTGGAAGATGTGAGAACCAAGAGAGGAGCTGATACAGCTTCAGATCACCACCTAATTGTGGCCAATTTAAAACTAAAGCTAAAGAAGAACTGGAAAATTGGACGACCAGCAGTACAAAGGTTCAATACTGCCTTCCTTCGAGATACAAATAAAATTAACAAATTCAAGATAGCTCTCAAAAACAGGTTCCAAGCCTTACAGGATCTGCTGAAGGAAGAAGAAACTACTATGGAGGACAAATGAGAAGGTATCAAAGAAGCATTAACTTCAATATGTCAAGAGGTTCTGGGCCTCAAGAAGCATCATCATAAGGAGTGGATCTCTATAGAAACACTGGACAGGATCAAAGAAAGGAAGAACAAGAAGGCAGCAATTAACAACAGCCGAACACGAGCAGAGAAAGCCCAAGTACAAGCTGAGTACATAGATGCAAACAAGCAAGTGAAGAGCGTTAGAGCCGACAAGAACTACATGGAAGAACTAGCAACGACGGCGGAAAAAGCTGCAAGAGAAGGAAATATGAAATAACTTTACGATACAACGAAGAAACTAGCAGGGAAATATAGTAAACCAGAGAGACTAGTCAAAGACAAAGGCAGGCCAATCACTGAAATTCAACAACAGCGGAATAGATGGGTAGAGTACTTCGAGGAACTCTTGGATAGGCCGGCTCCAATGAATCCACCGGACATCGAAGTAGCACATACAGATATAGATATTGATGTCAATCCACCAACGACGGGAGAAATCAGAATTGCCATCAGACAAATCAAGAGCGGGAAAGCAGCAGGATCCGACAATATACCAGCTGAAGCACTGAAGTCAGACATTGAAGTAACCATAGAAATGCTTCACTTATTCAAAAAGATTTGGGAGGAGGAACAAGTGCCGATGGACTGGAAAGGACACCTCATCAGTATCCCATAGAAAGATCTGAGCAAATGAGAAAACTACAGAGGCATTACACTAATGTCAGTATCAGGGAAATTCTTTAACGGAGTATTGCTGAACCGGATGAAAGCCGCAGTAGACGCCAAACTTCCAGATCAACAGGTTGGATTCCGTAAGGATTTGTTGTGCGCAGACCAAAATGCGACACTACGGATAATCGCCAAACAATCAGTTGAGTGGAACTCGTCACTATACATCAACTTCATTGATTATGAAAAGGCGCTTGGCAGTGTAGATAGAACATTATGGAAAATTCTTCGACACCACGGAGTTCCTAAGATTGTGAACATTATCCGGAATTTATGCGACGGACTACAATGCAAAGTCGTGCATAGAGGACAGCTGACATACGTATTTCAGGTAAGAACCGCAGTCGGACAAGGCTGTATATTCTCTCCCTTCCTCTTTCTTCTGGTGGTCGACTGGATTATGAAGACCTCGACATCTGAGGGAAAACACGGAATACAATGGACAGCTCAGAACCAATTATACGATTTGGACTTTGCAGGTGACCCAGCCCTCCTATCGCATACACATGAACAAATGCAGATAAAGACAGCCAATGTAGCAGCAGTTTCTGCATCAGTAGGCCTCAACATAAACAAAGTGAGAACCAGTGTCTTCAAATGCAACACAGAAAACAATAATCCAACCACACTTGATGACGAAACTCTGGAAGATGTAGAATCCCTCACGTACCTGGGAAGCATCATCGATGAACAAGGAGGTTCAAATGCAGATGTAAAGGCGAGGATTGACAAAGCAATGGTCGCATTCCTACAATTGAAGAACATATGTAACTCAAAACAACTGTCAGCCAACACCAAAGTCACAATCTTCAATACCAACGTCAAGGCAATTCTACTGTACGGAGCTGAAACTTAGAGAACTACAACAGCCACCATCAAGAAGGTACAAGTATTTATGAATGGTTGTCTACGCAAGATACTCAACATCCATTGGCCGGATACCATCAGCAACAGCCTTCTCTGGGAGAGGACAAACCAGTTTCCAGATGACGAAGAAATTAGGAAAAGACGATGGAAATGTATAGGACATACATCAAACTGTATCACGAGGCAAGACTTAACTTGTTATCCTGAAGGGAAGCGGAAAATAGGAAAGCCACAGAACACATAATATCGGGAATTAGAAGCAGATATGAAAAGGGTGAATAACAACTGGAAGGAGCTGAACAGGATTGCCCAGGACAGGGTTGGATGGAGAATACTGGTGAGCGGCGTATTGTCCTTTACGAGGAGTAACCTTATTTTAGTGCCTTTTTATTAATTTGCAAACGATATGTCAATTCTTTATGGTGATTGAACTTAGATGCGACAGAGAATTTATTTCAGGAGTTAATTTCTAACATAACCCAACTACTAATAACTTTAGCAACCAAGTATCTGTGTATGTACTTCCACCTAGGAAACAATTTATTTTCCGTAAAATATAGGTTGCTGGAAGTAAGTTGTCTCATTTATAAGTGATTTGTGTTATCATCATATGAAATTGTTCATAGTTTAAATATCGATCCAGAAGTAACACTTTAATTTTATTCAAGAAACAAATGACTAATTTTATTTACCTGAGTTGACGACATTATTTTTCAGTATACAGCAGATCAGGAACAGATTCTGTGCCACATAAGTAGCCTAGTTTTGTGTGAATCGACACCTAAACTAACAGAGTAATGTTGTGGAACAACGTTAGTACCGTATATCAAAAAACTCGCAATCGGCGACCTTGAGAATAAATTTCCCTCTAAAGAAGTTAACGGACACAATGTGTTATAAGTGGACAAAATTGTGATCTTATTAACCCATGCTAAACTAAAAATACTCCATCGTAAGTAGTATCTTCTTGTCTACATACTTATGACTCAAACGGATGCCAAAAATGCAACTATTTGAACGTCAGTTGGTAAATGATAATGTACACAGTATTCACTTGTAGGGAAAGGAGTTCTATCGACCCGTATTAACCCTTGCAGTTTGTCCAACCTCGCTCTGGATGCATCATAGGTGCTGATACTACGTGTCTTGGTAGAGAATTCCAGTACATCACTACTCGTTGTTAGAAACTGAACTCCAGACAAAAGAGTTTATCTCGGTTTTTGAATTTTATTGGAATATCCTCTCAAATGATCAGTCCTACGTAAAAGGGTAAGATATAACATGTTTACATCGGGATCATTGTTCCGATAAGTCAATATTCGACAACCCAGTAAAATAACGGAAATAGTTTGATGAATTGCAGTCTGTCTTCATAAGATATGCTAGAGAGACATTTTACCATTTCGATCTTTTACCATCGAACTCGTTCTAGCATATCCGTCTCACACTTGAAACAAGGACTTGTTGCTCGAATCCCAAATTCCAAATACTGACCTACAAAAGTCGAGTTTAGTAACCTAACCACATCCTCATCCGAGAACTGAAATGACTTACGAATAGCCCATAAGACCCTGAGGCCTTTGGTAGTGGCAGCCTTGCAGTTACCCATAGTTCAGAGTTCATTCCTTATTATGACTGCCAGATTGTCATAGTCTGCTAACTTGGGTAACAACTCCACATATTGTGTTTTGATGTGAATCGTCGCAGTTATTTAGTTACGAAAACACACACTTGTTAGAGTTAAATTCTAGTGACCACCTGCCGATCCATGCAACCAGTGAACCTAGGTCATGCAGTAATATTATTCTGACAAACTGGGTATGCATCTTCAAATGAAAACTACATCTATCCAGTAATTTCCTGCAGATTTGTCAGTTATGACAGGCCTTTACTAAATATATGTTCCCTGGATAAAAGATTATGCCCTTTTAAATATATTGAAATATCCATCTGAATAATTTTTCCCATTAATTCTGATAGCTGGACTGGTCATACCAACAATTCGATGGGTACCAAGTCTCTGCTGCACGCCTTATAAGCATGACTGACTATTGCGTCTTTCCAGTTTCATGACAGACTAGACTGCCTCAAGGGTATTTATCATACAGTATGGTCAGGAGTTCAGAATCACATCATATAGGGCTTTCATAACCCTAGGATAAACATCGTCAGAACTAATGGGCTTATCGAGTTTGAGGTTTGGAAGTAGTCGTGAATAATTGTTGGCCTCCCGCCATCGCTAGTGGAAAACACTTTACTAAGATATTCTAATAAAGCTTCAAAGTTCTCAGCGTCATTTATAGCAATTTCAAATGATTTTCTTGTGTCAAAGTGGCGTCATTCCATCCACTCTCTGACTTCGCCTCTTTATGTACAAGAATAGCCTTTTCAGACTATTTTCACAACTCCCAACCAGTTTTTTCATATTGGTGTCTAGGTTTACTTATCAGCGCTTTGCAAGAGTTCCTAGTTTTACGATAAGTGGATCTATACTGTTAGGAGCCTGTATAGATCAGCATACTCCATCGCCTTTTCTAACATCTAAGAAATTTCCTAACCTGTTCACTTATCCATAATGGACTGTTATTTGGTCTACGCTAACACTAAGCATAGTATAAATGGAGACGTAACCAGACTTTAATTGTAGACCATGCTTCTTCACTTGATGAGCTAGTCAGTTTTTTCAGCTTACGCTTATATGCCTGATAAGATTGCTCTCCACGCATTTGAGTGAAGTTTAACATGGTTATATATTATGTTATAAGCTGCAAATGTGAATGATAAAACAGCATAGTCGATACTGGCCAACGGTGGTAGAATATTTAGATAGGCAATATCATTGATCGCATGAGTGATTACTAAAACTAACAAACGAGATCCTTTATTCGAACATAAACATGTGGGTTCGGATATATGCTGTACTAAAGCATGCTCTATCACCGCCACTAAAAGCCCGCTATCAAAAGAATTTACAAGTCTTACGGCAGCCGTCTCAATCCATCTAATAACAGATACATTAAAATCTCATGATATCAGGTATCTTATATTTTTACTCTGTTGCTGAATATATTCTAAAATAAAATCGTCAGATAAGCAGCTTGGACAATGATAAATGACATCGAGTATAAATGTAGAACGTTCAAAAGTGACTTCATAGCTAACGATTTCACAAGTTCTACTATCATCGGACTTTCAAACAGAATATCAAACATTCATATGTATATATAACACAAAATCCCTTTCCTGAATCTATTCTTACCAATTTTTATGTGCTTCGATCCGGAAAATTCTGGAGTAGCGTCAAATTCACATTTTGGTCATAGATACGATGAATGGCTTAAGTTCGTGCACAAATACGCCTAGTTCACATAATTTATTTTTTTAGGATACGGGCATTTGCATATTTAAATTCTGAAAAGAACGATCTATACACACAGACCTTGATAGTACGCGCTTCCAAGACCTAACTAATATAAATGTCAATAAGCGGAGATTTTCTTCACCACTTTGTCGAAAAGTTATCAGTTCAGCTCAATGACATTACATACGAATTGATTTTACAAATTGCTGATATTTCAGGGATTTAAACAATTTATTACCAGTTTTCCCGTGTTTATTTGATTTTATTTAAGCCTCCCTGGATTCGTTTGGGATAGTAAGTGATGTTATTTCGATTCCGATACATTTTATTGATAATGAGCTTAAATAGAATGATTTGTCTGTCTTTATTTCTTTACTTGCTAATAATAAACTTTATTTGACTGCAGTGTGATTCACTCCATCATAATTATTCATCATCTAAATTGTGTGTTCTGAGGTGCTCCCTAAATGTCTAGATCTTGGATTCCTTAGTGCATCATTGGTTTGAAATTAAAATTTTACCACTCCCCTAGGTCTACTCTCCGTATTCACCAACCCGGTTCAGATGTCAGACGTTCTCTTTGGTCCTCTCACTCACTTACGTAGTGAAAAACTATGTGACGGTATGAGTGGCACTTCCCTCACTGTTCTATAAACGTGTGACTGTGTGACAGCATTGCGTAAATAACAACGAAATCCTCCCAATTTTCGCAATAACAGAGCGTTTTAAGGCTACAACATTTTAAGTTACTCGTAGTAGGTTGGCAATCTTGACAATCATATTCTTTGTTTTTAATTCTGTTAAAATGTCAACGTTTTGGCTATCCTAACCTTTAAGATTATTAAATTAAAATAAGAAGGAAAACGTGTATTTGTGAACTAAACCAATAATTTTAAGTATTCTATAATCTTTGTTTATGAAAATTGCTCTGAAAATATACAACTTCCTTTATTATGATAACAGTAACCTGAGAGCGTTCCAATTATTTTTTCTATTACGTTCTAGAAATATTATTTTCTTGTCTGATGTGATGTTCCATCTCTGTTATCAGATTATCACATGACAAAGCAGAGGAAATTTCTAAGATGAGAATAGTCTAACTATAGTTGATATCACGTAATAAACTAAGTAAAATCAATGCATGTGAAAATTCTAGAAAAATTACATACTCTACATGGGATTTCTCGATTAGGTACTGAGTTATTTAAGTAGAACTCTTCATTAGTGCGCTAGAACCTGATAACATAACAGCTGGGAGGAAATTAACTAGAGAGTAAACATGGCTTGAGACCTGCTCATGAATACATCAACCACATATTCACCATTTGTCAGATTGTAGAACTCGGGCATACTCATCGGCGACAATGGTGGTCTTTTTAAACTTAAAAGCAGAGTTTGACTCTATAGACCGCGAGATTCTGTGTCAGTGTCTGTCATTAACAGGAGTACCTCAGAAGTAAATAAGCTTTGTGAAGGCTCTTTACTCGAACACTACTAGTCGAGTCAGAGCTTATGGCTATTTGTCATTTGATTTCGCAACCTCCAATGGTGTCCATCAAGGCTGTCCACTATCTCCTCTTTTGTTTAATTTTATCATAGACCTACTGCTGGAAATAACGTTCTCGTCGACTGAATTTTCAGGACTTGATCTCCTACCAGGAGGTCTACTTATCGACTTAGAATGCACAGATGATATATTCCTGTTTAGAACAACACATATAAGCGAACAATTGTTTTCAATTAGATCGTCATCAGGCTTTACTCTAATATACATGGATATTTATACGAAAATTTTAAACCAATCAAGGCAATATGAGTCAATAATCACAATGAAAGAGAATAAGTCACTACACATAAAATAGGTAAAAGTACAAGTTGATAGTACGAAGACAGGTGAACAGATATTCCTGTTTGGTGAAGACGCTGATAAAATGCAGTCTATTGATTGCACTGCGCAACAATGCAAGAATGTTTGGGATGCGCTCCTCCCCCTTTAAATGCGAATTACTGCTTCATGACTTTTTCATTATAGTTGCACACTAATTTTATGGTATTTGCAAAGAAGAATTACCATCTCCTCAAAAATTTAAGAATTTATGATGGTTATCAAAAGAAAATTGCAATAACAAGTTATTAAGTTAGCAAATTATTCTGAATAAGATGGTTGAGAAGTTAAAGTAGATGGTTAGTTATTTAAAAGTATGTAGCATTGTTCATTTAATCTCGAATCAGCAGTATGTTAATCACAACTAAAATAGGCGGAAAAGGTGCGTACTCTGAACAGTTAAAAAAGGTTATCTTTGCATATTACACGGATATCAAGTAAAATTTAGTTAGTTATTGCTTAATAAACAGTAGTTATTATTAACTTATAACCGGACACTGATATGTTTACTTGGCTTCTAGCCATACTTTAAGTGTAAGGGTTGTCAATATTTATCAGTTGCCCAAAGTGAAATAGATTGAGCAGTGTTTAGACCTGCTACTTAGTGGATGTAAGGTGAATATCTTAACCA